TGTTGTGAAGCCCGTTGCATCAATACTTGGGATCCCAAAAGAAAATATTTTCGCCAATCAACTGCTTTTTGGAAGCTCTGGAGAGTTTGTAGGGTTGATAGAAATGAACATACTTCAAGGAGTGGAGGGAAAGCAACTGCAGTTGAACAGATCAGGAAGGTTAGTGTTGCTCAGTTGCTCCTGCTCATTAATTTTTACCAAATGCATCGCTTGTAAGTCTGGTCGAACTGATTTTTCAGGCTCATAAATACAAAGCATTAGCTATGATAGGGGACGGGGCAACCGATCTTGAGGTAAGTAAAATCATGCATATACATGTAACAAAGATTTATTGTCTCATTCGTATTATACAAACAAAGCATATTCAACCTTTTTAATAGACAAGAAGAAGATCAAATAATGATATTGATGTATAGACGTAGTTTCCTTAATCTACTTGTTTCCATGGATCTTAGACCATTAGTTATATGCCACTGACTGTGATTGAAATTTATATCATGTTCTAATCTGTTTGTTGTGTTCTTCCATTTAGGCTCGTAGACCAGGCGCTGCTGACCTGTTCATCTGCTATGCGGGTGTTCAACTTCGAGAATCTGTGGCTGCAAAAGCTGATTGGCTCGTTTTGGATTTTCAAGACCTCATTAATGTGCTGGGGTAGCTCCATTTGTATTGATCAGAGTCCTTTTGTGTTTTTACCCAAAGGTTATGGCACTCCTCTCCATCGAGGATCATGTAACTGCGAGAAAATTGACGCCTAGATATTAGGTGTTAATTTTACACCACACTATATATTCTTCTGAGAGCCAATAAGTTTTCTCCCCCGCTTTTTCCATCAGTTCGTCATTGCCCTTGCCTCCTGTTTTAATTGTAAATTTACACCACACTAGATATTCTTTGCTGGAATACAAATTAAGTTTTAAAAAAAATGATGCATAAAACGTTTAAAATACTCTTGGCCCTACAAGAAGACTTTAAAAAACTATGAGAATTGACACGAAAATTTAAGAGAACAGTCTTATGATAATATGTGGTAGGATTTCTCTTCACAGTTCAAAGATTTTTCAAGTCAGTGAATATAACTGAACTAACTGAACCTTGAATATAATTTGGATCAGTTTGATTTTGATACGATTAGTTCAGTTGTCCATATTATCTAGGCATGGGGATAGAAAATTTACCGATTCTCATGTGATGGAAATAGCACTGCGTGAGGCAATAATAAATGAACTAATAAAAATGTTGACAGAAGCTAGTTTGATGTCAGGCATAAAAGAGAATGAAAATATGAGTGGAAACAAAGCAATGCTTGTATTTTTATTTAATTTTTTTAAAAATTTTATTTATTTATTTATTTTAAAAAAAACACCATAAGTAATAGTCTCGTTTATTTTTTACCTACTTCATTACATTTATTAAAAAAAAAAAGTCAAGCATATGCTTTATTAAAGTGGCCTCACATCAATAATATGGTATATGAAAGTTTATGACTAGTTGCTGGATTGTCATTTTGGCCAGTTTTTTACATTTTAGTTGGGACTTGGAAGAAAGGGATTTGATGTGATCTTAGTAACCACTCCCTTTAATCAATTAAAATTGAATCAAAGTATAGAATTGCCGATGTTTCTGTCCCAATGGTCAACGAGAAAAGTGTGTGTGTGTGTGTGTGTATTTGAAAGCAATCTCCCTCCCTACTCTTTATTGCCGCCGACGCTGTGGGGGAGCACGGCGAAAATGTATTTATTGATGTGTTGTTTACTTGTTTTCATTTTGTATTGTTAACGCTGAAAAACAATTTTTTTTTTCAGTAAGACCTATAGGTTTCTCACACACACACACTGAAATTGATGTTAGTTTAAAACCCGTCACATCTCAACCTTTGATTTGATATGAATGCTTAAAATAGGTATATAGCTTTAAAAATTGAACTGAAAAATACTCTATCCTTAAATAATTTCAATAGGACATTTGGTACAAAAATCTAAGTTTATTTTCCCCCCTGAATTTCGTATCAAATTATGAAAAATAAATGATTATTTTTAGAAAACGATGGGATTCTCTAATTAGCATATTACTTTCAATCAGAACGTTACTAATATGATTTTAAAAAAATGATAAGGAATTGCTGTCTATACATAAGTGAGGCAAAGGAAAAGAAAAAAGAAAAGAAATTATTCATAGATTTCAGGTCAAAAAAATTGCTGGAAAAAAATCCGTAAATGAACCTTGCATGCTGCAACTTATTATCAAAGTCTGTGCGGCTGTGCTTTTCAAGAACTAGATAAATTATATAGTTATTATATGTTAATAAAAAATCATATTGTACTATATTTAAATTAAAATAAAAACTTGATAGCTAAAAAATTGCGTATATAGGAAAACTACTTTTATAACACGCTATTAAGTCAAACCTCTAATGTGACCTCCTGTTTTTTTCATTTTTCATGCTATAAAATTTTCATTAATGCACAAAAAGCATGAATATATTTTGATGCCAAAAAAAAAAAGCATGAATATATTCGTTGGGGAAAAAAAGCATAAATGTATGGGAAAATGACAATAAAATACCACTTAAATTCTAAAAAGACAGATAAGGGACCTGAATAAGCAAAATGACAAATAGGGCACTGGGTACCAATCTGGAATTCATATTTTCGGCCAAAAGACCCAAATGCCCTGATGAAATGCGGGAAGACCGAAAGCTGAAAGTGAGAGAAAGGAGAGAGGAAGACCGACGCTGATGAAATGCGGGAAGAAGGAAAGAAGAATGTTGGAAATGCTATTATCTTACTCCTTCGCATCACCATTATGTAGAGATTGTTGATTTTGGTTGTGGGAAAGAGGATTTGTAGTGAGAGAGGGAGTGAACCAAAGCGGAAAGATGAAGCGGAAATCAGAAAACTGGCAAGCAATTATGTAACGTAACTGCTGTCATATGCCTGCTGGTTTTTGATAAATCTCATTACGTGAATGGTAAATTTCACTATACATGTAGTTAATTATGAATTTTACAAAATACATATTGTGATTTACAACTTTTGTAGTGAAAGTGACTACTTTGTTAATGGGTTTTGCAACCTGTTTTCAGAAGATAAACAACTTGTTTGTAAAAACTAATAAAAGTGACAACTTTTGTAGTCACGTTGAATTAACTGGTTGCAAAAGCCATTTAAGAAGTGGTCATTTTCACTATAAAAGTTGTAAATATCACTATGTGTTTTGTAAAATTCAGCGTCAAATTTTATTGATTTTTAGAAACAAGTTGCTCATCCCCTGAAAAGAGGTTGCAAAACTCATTTAAGAAGTGGTCATTTTCACTACAAAAGTTGTAAATATCACTCTATGTTTTGTAAAATTTAGCATGGAATTTTATTGGTTTTTAGAAACAAGTTGTCAATCCTTTGAAAAGAGGTTGCAAAACTCATTTAAGAAGTGGTCATTTTTACTATAAAAGTTGTAAATATCACTGTGTGTTTTGTAAAATTCAGTGTCAAATTTTATTGATTTTAGAAACAAGTTGTCAATCCCTTGAAAAGAGGTTGCAAAACTCATTTAAAAAGTGGTCATTTTCACTATAAAAGTTGTAAATATCACTGTGTGTTTTGTAAAATTCAGCGTCAAATTTTATTAGTTTTTACAAACAAGTTGTTTATCTCCTGAAAACAGGTTGCAAAACCCATTAACAAAGTAGTCACTTTCACTACAAAAGTTGTAAATCACAATATGTATTTTGTAAAATTCATAATTAACTACATGTATAGTGAAATTTACCATTCACGTAATGGGATTTACCAAAAACCAGCAGGCATATGACAGCAGTTACGTTACGTAATTGCTTGCCATTGTTTTCTGATTTCCGCTTCGTCTTTCCGCTTCGGTTCACTCTCTCTCTCTCTCACTACAAATCCTCTTTCCCACAACCAAAACCCACCAAATCAACAATCTCTACAGAATGGTGATGCGAAGGATTTAGTTTCGTTAACTGGAGGGGGTTCAGTTTCGTGGAGTGGAGGGATTGCTTTCATCGAGTAGAGGGATTCGATTTCACTGAGGGGAGGGATTAGTTTCACCGAGTAGATGGATTGGTTTCGTCAAGTGGGGGCAGTTTCTCTTTCGCCGAGTGGGGGGAATTGCTTTCGCTGGGAGGAGGCGAACACAATAAGGGCAATTCAGTCTTTAGGCCAAAAATCAAAATTCCAGATTGGTACCTGAAGCCTTCTTTGTCATTTTACTTATTCAGGTCCCTTATCTGTCTTTTTGGAATTCAAGTGGTATTTTAGTGTCATTTTCTCTAAATGTATTTAGTCCATGATTAACCGAATCTCACCAAATACATTGGACTTATGGTATGTCTTTGTCCACCTTTCTCCCATTTGGACATCCATTTCTTTGACATTTTCGCCAAGTTTATGTATAAACAAACAAAGTAATAAATAAGGAAAAAAGAACAGTAGATTATTTTCTGCTGGCAAAACGAACAGAATAAAGGGCAAAGAAAGAAGAACAGAGAAAAAATAATGCTCTTATGATCCTAAATATAAAACTCTTATACAGATATAAAACTCTTATAAACATTAATATAAGAGTTTTATAATTAGGATCGAATGAGTAATAATTTCCCTTTTCAATTTTTAGCGGAAGCCTCAAGCCGGAATGTGAGAAAACTTCCTTTGAGAATTGTTCTTGTCGAAAAGAAAAAAAATTTATGACTTTGAAAAAATAATAAAAAAATAGAAATTAATCTATAAACAAAGTTTTATAAATAGAATCAGTATTAAATGTTAAATCATGTTTGATAACAATATTTTATTTGATATTGATAACACTGAATTTATAAATAACTCTAAATTTTTATTACAATTTTTTATTTAACATTTAGTAATTTCTAATTGTTTTAATCATTTATCCTATGAACTTTTTGGACTAATTTATTAATTTGGGAAAACCATTGGCTTAGCCGCGCAGTATAGTGCAGGCGTGTGTTTCTTGGAGATAACGGCGGAGCGGGTCTTTTTCTTTGCAGTGGAAGTATCATCAAACCTTCGAGCTTCGACAAACATCGTGAGGGAACCTTGGGCTTCATAGATTTGGTTCTAAGATTATTACTTTTTTTAATATCCCTTCTTATTAATGCCGGAGAAACAGCAGCAAGAGTTGTATTTTTCGTGACGGGCTCGTCTCTTACATAAATTTTGAAGTGAATAAGCTGCTTTCATCAGACAGTTCATCGGTGTTGCTGAAGCACAGTATAATGAGTGGATATGCCGCTATTGATTACAGTCATTTCCGCTCTCTACGAAGAAAGTAATAATCTCGGTGGTGGTTGTTTCTGACATTGGCTGATTTTTTATGCTTGTGAAGTTCACAAAAACTTATAAATATGTTTTCTTGATTATTCTTGTTCCTCCTTTCTGGTGATTCTCACTTGATTGAACTTTTCCAACTACTGTTGCTCTTGTGGTTATGGGAATGAGGGATACGCCCACAATGCAACGACTGCCGGGATTAAGGATAACGGTTTATCTATCCTTCAATTTTGATCATAGTTTCTTGCAGTTTGATTAATGAATGATAGGGTTCTTGTGTGTTTTATGATGAGACTTGGAAGGAGGAAAGTTTATTTCGGTGAATAAAGGATTGTGGTTTTGTTTCTGTGGACGTGGCTTTCTATACTGTATTCTTTGACCTATCATTTGTTGAACACTTGTTGGCAATTTCTCAACATTCTTGACAAATTTCCGTTAAGTTTCCGATGCTAATAATTGATACAAAGACGATAATTTGCCTTGTGGAGTTTGGCTAGTGTTTTCTTGCTCTGTGGGAGGAAAGGAAGAGCAAAAATGGATCTTTGGGTTGTCGCAGCAGCTGCAGGAGCTGGTTTAGTTCAATTTTGGAACAGAAATTCAAAGAATAATGATAGTGCATGTCAATTGTCTTCGGAGGATCCCAATTTTGAGAATCTTGAGGCGCCAGGGCACTTATCTCACAGAGAAGTGCGGACAGATGAATTAGACAAAGATGTTTCTGCAGAAAAAAGGGTTTTCGATGAAAAACCTGCAGAATGGAACTCAGTGGATGGTCTTTCAACAACGGAAATAACTTCTAACAAAGTGCTGCATAATGAAAAGATAGGACCTTCTGGGGCGCACGATGACAGCATTGTACTTTCAATCTCAAACTTGCCGCTGTCATTGTCGCCAAATGAGAACTTGAATGATGTTGACAATGGAAATGAGCAAATCTATGATGCTGGTGGTAATTATGGTTTCGGTTTTCCTGACTCATTTGCCAGAGAAGTGGGTCCTAACCATCATTCTGCTGGGAATAAAACTTCTCTCAAGAATAAGCATTTGTATGGACATTTAGGTAGACCTTTGAATTCCTTAGAAAGTTGCCTTATGGCTCAGCTATACGAGAAACACTCAAAAATGGAAGAATATGTCTTAAGCTCTCTTCCCCCACCTCCTACGCCTGCAAGGTCTTTTATTGTAAGTAATGGAAGTCGAGTAATGAGCAGATCAAATCATAAATGTTTCAGTACGTTGACTCGCAAGGAGGAAGATAAGTGGTGTAAGGAAGCCTATCAAAACCATGATGATAGTATGTTTGGGATTCCTTCCCTGCCAAAAGTTGGATATTTACATGGTCATAGGAAGCCAAAACACAAGGCAGGAAAATTGCAGAGTGAAAGATTGAGCTCTTCTGACAGTGCTGTCAGTAGAAAACACATTCATGCTCAGCTAGGTATAGTTCTCGAATTAAAATATCTTTCAAGCCTGTGCTGTAGTTCTATTAGTTTTTCCTTTGCTTGTCACTTATGTGTCGTTGTTTTTATTTGTTTTGGAGGCGAGAGGAAGGGGGGGTATTTCTGGCACTTCTCTAAGTTGATGCTTACTTATAATCATTTCGTTTATTGATTATGCTTGAGAATAAGAAATTTCTAGGATTCTTGTTATGATTTCTTCCCTAGTTTAAGTTGTGGGCATATTTTCATGTAGATACAGCCCAAGGGCAGCAGAGAATAAGATGCCTCTGTTAATTTAAAATTAAATGGTTTTTCAACTGGTTTAAACTTCTTAGGTTGCTGAACATAGATTCCAGTTTCTCTATCCATAAACCTCTCTTGAGAATTTTTATTTTAACATAGTGTAATGTTATTGCTACTATATGAAAGGATTGTTTTTCTTTGTGCTGTATAAAAAAAGAGATTTTCTTGTGCTTTTTTTTTTGGGGGGGGGGGGGGGGGCTGCGTCCCCGGGAAAGTTACATTTCAGGGCCTTAGGGTGGAAGATTTTAACTTGGAGTCTTAAACTATCATATTCTTGAGCGCTTATAAAATTTTTGGCGTAGGATCCTTTCCGTAGACAATAAAAAGGCCCTATAGCATGAAAATATCTTCAACCTTAGCTCCTGAATTGTAATTTTCCCATTTTTTTCAAATCCCAAAATGGCATTGCCAGCACCAGTTAGCAGAGAATTTTATATTTGCCATCTCAAGTCTCAATTCATATGCAGTAGCATGTTAAACTGTTGCCTCAGCTAGCTCTTTAATTGCAATTTACATCTGAATAGGTTGATAGCATGTGCCGGGTACTTGATTGTGCCTTGTGATGTATTTCTGTAATGACTCCATTTACTGACATTTCCATAACCTTCAGATGTGACATTTCTCTTCAGTCTTGGGCTTTCTTTCGGGATAATAATTTCCATCATGACTAGTAGAAGAGAAGCAGATGAGTTAAGAGATTTGTTGAAGCAGACAGAAAACTTGGTTCAAGATCTACAAGAAGAGCTTGAAATGAAAGATTCAATGACAGTGAAGGAGTTAAATAATGAGAACTATGGGTCACAGGATACATGTGACCATCCCTCCTATGATAGGGAGCTGAATGGATTTTCCTCTGAGAAGCATATGGATAACTCTCCCAGAGATGGCTGCAAAGAACTATACGACCGGAAGGAAGAAGAAAATTCAGAACCTATGAGCAAAATTGAAGCTGAGCTTGAAGCTGAACTGGAGAGATTGGGGTTAAAAATGAATACTTCTAGCCTGGAGAGAAAGCTTTCTGAGCTTGTTGAGGTCAGCCTTAATGTTTAACACTGGACCTTTAGTCACACTACATATGTTGTTTAGAATGGCTGTTTTGATCATTTTACAATATGTCTGTTTTGATGGGGATTGCTGTTTTGCTTTGCATCACGCGCTGACTGATTTGATACCGTCTTGATGGAAGTGACAAATAATTGGAGTAAAAATGGCCCAAATTTTTTAAATCTTAAAATAGACTAGTGGAGACTGGAGAGTATTTTAGTCAAATCTTCCCTCTTTCAATCTCTATGATGTAGTCCATTCAGTTCATTAAAAACAAAAACAAAAAACGTGTCTCTATAATGCAAATCCTTGACTGACCTAATGCTTCTGATGTTATCTGGCATTTGTTAGAGTTTGCGTTTAGCAATATTAAAAATAGAAAGGAATATGAAAGAAAACATGGTAAAGTAAGCACAAGAAAAATTAAGAGAATTGTCCGTGATTATCCTGGAGTAGATGATCAGGCAAGATCATTAATGTTAATGATGCATTATTCCCACAGGTTGACCCAGACTTCGTAGCAGATTTCGCTCAAGGTGAATTGCGACCTGACAAGGTCCAGGGTAAAGCTTTTTCCCCAAAAAACCCTGACGAGAGTACCAGTGATGCTGCCACACCTCTCCCTGGAAATTATGCGGTTTCGCCTCATGAATTGAGCCTACGATTGCATGAAGTTATTGAATCGAGGCTTGAAGAACGTGTAAAGGAACTCGAAATTGCCCTTCAAAATAGCCAGAGGAAAGTACAGCTTATGGAAACAGAGAACAAGCGATGTTACCTGAGAAACTTCAGTAGCTGTGGACAGGCATCATCCTTTGGGGGAGGAAGTCCGTTGACATATGATGACTGTGACCTAATGTCCCAGCCTCTAGTTATGAATTTATCAGGCGAAGCGCTTGATGCCTACAATGAAGCTTATGAAGAATTAATGAAGACAGATGAGTCAGAAGTGAATTCACCGTCAGGCATCCATGATGACGAAGGATTATTTGGAATTCAACGTGGCAGAACAAACAGGTCTGCAACTTTCTTCCCAGGTAATGGGGAGAGATTCTTCTCTAGCAGAGTGAAAATGTTGGAAGCGCAAGGCTCTGATGTTTGTGAATTAAATGCTGTTGTAAGAGATGAAGATTGTAATAGTGATAATGAGATGGAAAGGCAAGTGATAAGACAAATTCTTGACAGGAGCAAGAGAGGGTCTCCTGCTTTTAAGAATGTACAAAAATTGTTGCATTCTATGAATGAGGATGAACGTTGATATTTGATATAAAGTACCAAGACAACAGAGTTCCTTGATTCGTTCCTTTTTCTATTACCATCTTTGACGTGCTATTCTGCCAAATGAGTGGCAGTGGAATGCTCCTGCTTTGTAAGTCTCTAAAGTCTAAACAGTCTCTCAAAGTAAAAAGAGGAAAAGAAAAAAGTGAGTTTTAATTTTATAAGCATCGTATAGGCGAGTCAAGTTTCCTGGTTTCTCCGTTTATGTCATCAGAATCCCTGCATAAACAAGCCTTCAAACAATGCTAGTTTATTGATTTTGATAGCCCTATTACGAAGGTTTGTTTCAAAGTGTGAGGAACATTTAGGCGAATCTATCCTCAATTGCAAACTTTAAGGTGAAATGGGCTAAAAATAAAAAGAGAAAAAAAATTTTTAATGAGCTCAATTTAAAAAATTAAAACTTTTAATTAATTTTTATCATTTTTTCATATCTTCTCTTTATTAAAATTTTAAAACCACAATTATATAATTTTTTAAATAAACTCATTAAAAAAAAAAATTTCCCTTTCCTTCCCTCCATTTTTTCCGCACCAAAACCAGCAAGAGGAAGACATTAAACCCCCCAGCAAGAGGAAGACATTAAACCCCCCCCCCCCAAAAAAAAACAAACGGACAAAAACGGAGGGTTGAAGAGGGGCGCGCGCGCGCATATATCGATGGATGCAGCTAATAGATCTTCAATGTGGACAAAAGGAACAATATTCAGTGGTTTAGGTTTAAGGAGATTCCCAGAATCCCAGTTCGTGCGAAAACGTTAAGAGACTTGACAATATTCAGTGGATAATCAACATTAAGATCAATCTCAATCATGTTGAGATTGAATCGCAAACAGAAACGCTGGAGCATCTATTTCCCGATCTAACATAATATTTCTTCAATCCATCCAGAAAACAAGCAAAAATATAAACGTGCAAGCATGCAAGGAACGGCAAAGAAATCACCTCTATTATTCGTAAACTTTTATCCCCACCTATCATTACAGTCTCAAGACTCAAATAAGTAACACGACCAAAGCAAAACAGTAGTAAAACCAAATCTAAATGACGCCCAATAGTACAAGAGTTTACTGGGAAACACCCAACCATTTTGAAAAGTTCTCAAATTCGGTGTAATCACTGTCAGAGATCATGGTATGGTACCATGCTTTTCCAGCAGCCTTGATCGCAGAAGCCTCCTCCTGAAAAGGGCAAGAGAAAAGGGTTTAAATAAAACATCAACCATATAAATAAGTAACGGGTAACAAGATGCATGTAACATTCAAAATGCAGAATTATAGTAACAACTGTGACATAAAACTAGTAAAAATGTCGTTCATCAACCATGACACCGTCGATATATCAATAATATCAAAAGTAACCAGCGCATTAAAACTAACATTTTCAACTGAAAATTGGTTAAAATTGGATAACTATCATACAACCCTTCATTACTGCTAAAGAACTCTTATTTAAAGAAGGAAGAGCTCAGCTTTCGAAGCTACCTTGGATGTACGAAACTAGGTTAGTTAACAATTTGTCGGGCATCATTTCCTAAAATTCTTGCCGAAAAGGAAATACTTTCTTGGCAACGCCATTTTATTTACCCCTTCCGTATGCTTGTCAATATATACAAATGAAATCATTCCATATAAGAATCATGAATTCGATGACTAGGACATATTTTATCCTTGACACAACTCCAATAACCATTTCACCTAGTACTTCGCTAGAATCTAGATTTCTGTTAGGCACAGAACAAAGAAATTAACAATCTATTCTGTATAATATGCTTTAAATGTGAGCAAGGAAATTCAGAACAGCGCACCTTAGGGACAGACTTCCTCTTGTTATCGAGTTTCTCCTTCTTTGCTTTCACTCGCTGAGCTTCAGCAAGAAGAGCCATCCTCTTAGCCGTCTTGGCATAAGGATTCAACTTCAACATAGCATTCAAGTTCTTGAGTGGGTTCTTCTTCAGTGGAGCCCTCTTGAAATCCTTCTTGATCGGCCTTACGACAGATTGAATTTCATCGGAGTTGATAATCCTTGCTAAATCTGAATTGACCATCTTGGACCTCGGCAGCAAGTAACCCTTCTTCTTTTGTGATGGCTTATCGAACGATCCATAGACAGAATCCAGCTTCTCAAAAGCCGACTTGGTCCAAATGACGAACCTCCCAAGATGACCACCAGGAGCAAGCTTCAGCAGATTCAACCTCTCCACATTAGCGACCTCAACACCAGGTATGTTCCTAAATGCCTTAACCGCTTTAGCTCCTTCAGTTCCATACACAATAAGAGGACCTTTGCGAGAAATATATCGGCGATTTCTCATCTTACCCTTACCCGGGCGAATAGAATGGCTATCCTTTGCCTTCTCAGCATCAGGAAAAGCACCGACCTGCCTCAAAACTTTGATGGCGTCCTTCGTTTTCTCAACACCCTCAGCTGAATCACTCACGACCAGAGGCATCTCCGGCACGGACTCGATCCGGTGACCGCGAGCCATAACAAGGGAAGGAACTGCCGAAGCAGCAATGGCCGAAACGACGGCGTGACGCTTCTGAGTCATATTAACTCTACGGTGCCAGCGGCGCCAAGTCTTGGTAGGAGCGAACATGCGTCCACCACGGCACATGTTGCCGAAAGCACCTTGCCCCGCGCGATGGGTTCCACCACCGGGAACACGAGGGATACGGGAGACAGCACGGCCGGTACCCCAAGACTCGGCGGAGGTCTGGTGGCCAGCGCGCTTGCTGACGGCATAAGGTTGCCGGCTGTTCTTGGAAATGTTGGAGTGAACGAAGGTGACGATGTCGGGTCGAATCGATGCCTTCATTACATCCGGAAGTGGAACTGTTGGGGGTACATCGGTGGCCATATCGCCCTCAAGGGCTTGCACGGTGACAAGAGGCCTAGCCACGGCAGCCATACTGGAGAGGAAGGTGGGCGGAAAGCGAGGAAGACAGGGATTGAGAGTATTAACAGGGTTTTGGGTAGGGTTTCCATTTCCAAATAGCTTCGTGAAAACCGGGTTTGGGCAGAAGTTTGGGCTACAAATGGGCCCGTCCATACAGGCCCAATGGGATGATATGTCATAGCCTATTTTCTTGGCAGAAGGATTGGACGGCGCTGGTATGGGTTAAAAACGGACTGCCTGCCTTCAAAGGTTGATGGGGCTATTGCTTAATAATTTGCTTATTTCTTAGGAAACACTTTACGTAATACTACCTCCGATTCTAATTATAAGATCCAATTAATTAATTTGAGAAATTAAAAAAGAAATTAAATTAGTTATTTGTAATAAATAGGTATTGTCTTTCCTAAAATATCCTTACTAATCAACTATATTAGCTAGAACTACAATTATTAGAAGGACTATCTTGGAAAAAAATATATAAATATGAGATACAAAGTGAATTGGGGTCTTATATTTAAGACCAAAATAAAAATCAAACAAGATCTTATATTAAGAACCCGACGTAGTAATTGCATATTTCCAAGGTTGACTCGCTGTATCTAATCAAAATCAAACAAAAATATAGAGCGACATAATGCTATTAGGCATAGCTGGTTGGGAGAGCAAGGGAGAAATGACTTCCAGAGAAAAATATCACTATCAATTGCATCTTACCTCGTCGGTTAAAAGCTGAGTTTTTGAGAAATTGAAGTGGTACTATAACGGCTAAAAAAACTCAACCAGTTCTAATTTTCTTCTTTTTCGCAATTTATAAAAGTTTCCCGACTTACTTTTATCCTAATTTTTCAATCCCTTCAGGTCAAGTGCATAAAATACTTCTCTTTTATTAGACCTATTCCTCCATTCATACATTACCTCGGTATTTATACTGTGACTCCTTAAGAATTTGAAATCAATAATTCAAAGACCCCTTTAGCGTATCATTATGGTTAAGGAAACTTTTTCTTTTTTCAGATTAAAGAGTACACCTTCAGCTCAAAAAATGCCCAAACATAAACACAGGAGGCAAGTTCTTTGCAAATCCTGAATCTAATTGCAATCAATAAAAATAGTCTTTAAAAAAATTTAAATTTGAGAGTAAACTGAAATCCTATATATCAAAATAAAACCCCTAATTAGCTCTTATACTAAAGACAAAGACAAAAAATAGTATTATAAAAATTAGTCTATCCTTAGCAATATAAATTAAACTAATCAGGAGACGAAGAGGACAAGACATACAATTACGCAGAAAGCCAGGTTCCACACTCAGATCAGAGCAGAAAATTAACCCGCTCCTGAGTTCATAACATGGCAATCAACCAGCCTAGGCTAGCCTTCATCACATGACAATACAGGAGAAGAACAGAAAAACTGCATCTGCTGGCAGCGATACAACTATAGTGCCTTTGGAAGGGCACATCTTAAAGTTCCACGTCAGCCATGAATTATTAGTATAGCAGTTTACCTCAAGCATCGATTTACAAGCTGAATTAAAGATCTCAACGTGGCCAAACGCAAAAATCTCCTCAAATTACGTCACAAATACTAATTGCCCTTTTCTTGGAATAGGAAGGAAGGATGACAAGAAAAATCGCCTTAAAAATTACTTTCTCCCCTGTTTGGTACTTCTGAATGAAATTACATGCTTGAAAAACTTCATCAGATATCTAATACCTCTGCGAGATTTCTTCAAGCCCTTTTGGCAAAATCCCCGGTATCATCATCGTCATCCCGGGAGTTTTCCTCTATCTTGTCTGCAAAATCTCCAATCCGGTAGCTTTCACCTATTTTGTCCTCAAAATCTTCAACATCCTGACCCATACTGTTGCTTTCTTTACCATCCAATTGACCACCCGCAAAGCTACTGCCTGAACCTGGAACACCACTGCTACCAAAATTAGCCGAACTGCCAAAGTTATCACTGCTGCCAAATCCAGCGGCACTGCCAAAGCTATCACTGCCGCCACCAACAGCAGCACCGAAACTAGGAGCACTTCCATAGTTATCACTGCCTCCACCACCACCAGCAACACCAAAGTTCCCACCATTGCCACCATATCCTCCACCACTGCCACTGGTATAAGTGCTTCCACTTGCAAAGTTCTCACTATTGCCACCAAAGCTTCCACTGCTACTTGCAGCATACGTGCTTCCAGTTGCAAAGTTCCCATCATTTGAATAATTGGTTCCGCCAAAGCCACCAGTAGCACTTCCAGTTCCAAAGCTGTCAGCAGCAGCTCCACTTCCACTGTCACCACCATATCCGCCGCCACTTCCGCCAGCATAAGGGCTTCCACTTGCAAAGTTACCATCATTTCCATAACTGCCACCTGCAGCTCCAGCTCCAAAATTGTTAGACGCAAAGTCATTGCCAGGGCTGGCACCAAAGTTGCCACCTGATCCATAGCTTCCCCCACCATATCCACCACCACCATAACCTCCAGCAGCATTGCCACCATAAGCACCAGAGCCACCATATGGAGGGTTACCATAACTGCCTCCATAGCCAGCACCAGCACCATATGGAGCACTGCCATAAGAACCACCAAAACCACCACCACCACCATAGCGAGGCCTCTCATTAGCATAATTTACCCTAACTCGGCGACCATGAAGATCCTGGGAAAATGATAAACAATTATAAGAAACATTCATGACACCAGAAGAACTTGCAGGATATTAAAAAGGCAAGCTCTGCTATGGCAGTCAGGTAAGGAAGCAATTCCCTAATGGCTGATACTGTAAAAATTCTTGATGTACTATGAACAAATTATGATGACTGTCACAAATAAACAACTAACACCTTTCTAAGGGCATTTAATAGGGCTAAAACAAACTTTTCAACATCCAAAAATTTAACAGCTTATGCAGCTTCAACACATTGATAATGTGAATAGAATGGTACAGCAACTGATGAGACTCTAATCCTTAACAAGGCTCCGTTACCTGCCCATCTAAGGCCTGAATGGCACTCGATGCCTCCTCAACTGATGTGTAAGTGACAAAAGCAAACCCTCTAGATCTCCCAGAGTCACGATCCATAATTATTCTTGCTACAAAGTTCATGAGATCAAACAAAGGTTAATACAAAAATTCACACCAAAAAATTCCACAGAACTACTATGAAGCTGAAAATAGTTAAAAGTCAATAAACAGAAATCCTAGCAATTTACCATCAACTATATCTCCATATTTTGCAAAAGCTTCCCTCAAACTTTGCTCATCAGTGGAATATGACAGTCCTACAACAAGAAACGTCATATACATATATATCATCATTATTAACTTAAGAAAACATAAAGAGAAGGTCATCGTATCAAATGAAAAAGTAATTATAAATCCACCTCCAACAAAAACCCTGGAACTTGCAGCAGATGACATGCACCGTATAGCCTGGAAAATAGATGGAGCTGAACGAAATTCTGTGCTGAGCTGCTTATTTGCAGCTTGTCTTAGTATATTCCCAACTCTACCAAAGAAAGCCATCCCTATAATCTGCGCAGCCCTGTACACGTCGACGAATATATTAGATATGATATCGATTAATATACAAGATACATAAAATATTTCAAAAATTAATTTATGCCTAAGAAATGAGAAAATAGTATTCCAACACAACCCTCGAAAAAGAATTAATGAACTGCAAAACTTTATCAAATTATTTACGATCATCTTCCTGTTCACATCCAAACAAGATACGAAGTTAGGAGGCGGATAAACTATACGATTCTAAGATACTCATAGCCACCTCAGACACAAGTCCCTTCTCCTCTAACAAAATGAATACCTAAATCGTTTTTCCATTTCCATTCGTCAAACTTGCCATTCATTACAAAAAGTACCTCCAGTGATCACAAAAAAAAAAAAACATATAAGATGACAGAAAATAAAAACAAAGATTCGATTCAAGGGAAAAAAACCACACTTTCAGATCGTACGTGAATCAACTATCGGCCTGTCTCAGTAAACAACCGAGAGGAGACAATATAACAACGAAAGAAATTTGCTAATCGTAAGAGAAAGAATATCTCAGGTAAGGAAAAAATGAAGAGACATAGAGAAAGATAAGACTGAAATTAAATGAAGCATCGTGACGTAGTATGGCACCTTCCCTTGCTTCACTGTGTCTCTACAAGAGTGTGGACACTACGCTAAAACCCTAAGCAAGATTTTTCATTTGAGACGCGGTTTATGTAGGTGGAAGGTGGAACCCAATGCGAGAGGCCTATGTGGAGAGCTTGAATGACTAAGAACCGTTGATCGTATATGAGGGAAATAATAGCCGTTAGATGTGAGTGAAAATGCACCGATATTTCTGCTGTTATAATCCCCCTAGCATTTGCATTATACGTCGTCGTTTTACCACATGCCTGTCCCATGTCTAGGAAATCAACTGGATGTCGTCTTGGTTCTGCCCATCCATTAGTCAGCTGTTAGTAGCAGTCGCTGCCAGGTAACCAAAACCGGAGACATTGCGATCGTGGAAATACTGACCGGCGAATAAATTAGCCTGCCCTGTGTAATTCGAAGAAAGCCTGAATCTTTTCGATCTTTGAATTCTCCCATGGCCCAAAACCGAAGCTCCCAGAGCGTTCTTGACACTATGGGGGAAGAAATTGTTAGAATCCTTGCACCTGTATCGCTCTGTATGGTGTTGGTAGTAATCCTGGTCTCAATTCTTAATGACAGCTCTGCTACATCGTCAATCTCAAGTATAGCCACCATGGCATATAGTGAGACTGGCACAGACTCTTCCTGGGACAAATTCGTGGGCGCCGTTTTGAATTCCTTGGCATTCGTGGTTGCTATTACTGTTGTAACATTTGTTTTGGTCCTTCTCTTCTATTTCAGATTCACCAGATTCTTAAAACTATACATGGGTTTTTCTTCTTTTCTTGTTTTGGGATTCTTGGGTAGTGAAATTGCAATGTTTTTAATTGAACATTTTAGCGTCCCAATTGATTGCATAACATTTTCTCTAGTTGCCTTCAATTTTGCTGTTGTTGGTGTGTTGGCCGTCTTTATGTCAAAAATGGCAATTGTTATTACACAAGGGTACTTGGTTCTTATTGGAGTGTTGGTCGCTTACTGGTTTACTATGTTACCTGAATGGACCACTTGGGTACTACTGGCTGCCTTGGCATTGTATGATCTTGCAGCAGTCTTATTGCCTATTGGACCACTAAAGCTTTTAGTAGAGCTTGCAATATCGAGAGATGAAGAAATTCCAGCACTGGTTTATGAGGCTAGGCCAGTAAACTGTGATAATTTAGACCCCAGGGCTGGTGTGACTCAGAGGCGGGTATGGAGGGATAGGAGGATTGAGAATTCAAATAATCAAATTGATTCCAACCTGAGTGTTGGATCAAACTCCACTCTCAATGCCAATGCTCTTTTGAATTCAAATTTGGATGGTAGTAATCCAGATGTAACTCACAATGCAACAAATTTGGTTATGGAAAATGCTGTCTCAAATCCAAGTTTTAATTCTAATACTTCTGATGGCATCTGTTCTGACAGAAATTTAGTCAGAGCGGAAGAGGGACAAGTTCAGGAAACTGATTCAGAGCTTTCGGCTCCTCTAATTGACCATGGAACGAATGTCCAGTTGAATAGAGCAGAAGCAGTGTCAAATGCAAATTCGATGCTGGAGGGAATCGGGCTAGCATCATCTGGTGGAATCAAGTTAGGGTTGGGAGATTTCATCTTCTATAGTGTTTTGGTTGGCAGGGCGGCAATGTATGATTTTATGACTGTATATGCATGCTATCTTGCTATTGTTGCTGGTCTGGGAATCACTTTGATGCTTTTGGCACTCTATCAGAAAGCCCTCCCTGCTCTTCCAGTGTCAATTACATTGGGAATGTTGTTTTATTTTTTGACCAGGCTCTTGCTTGAGGTATTTGTGGTACAATGCTCCCTGAATCTCTTGATGTTCTAAAGTTAACTATATTACTTGAATTTGGAAGTTGACTATCAAGTATATTCCAATTCCATCATTTCGTGAATATATTCTTAGTTTAAAATTCTGTGCTTAATGTCCCATCTCTGGCTGAAGGCTTTCAAGCAGTGTGTCTCTTGTTTACCTTGTATATTATTTACTTTCTCTGTCTTTCAATTAATCAGTTCAGTCAGCATCACAAATTTTCTTTCTTTCAGTTTTTCCAAGTGATTGGAAAATATATGGAGTATAGCATGTTTAGGATCTGTTTTACCTAGCTTTTTTTAAAAAATAATAATAATAATTTCATTCTGTAGCTTATGAAGTTACGTTAATATGACTAATCAAGGAAATTTGCCGATTGACGCCTATAAACATAACATATAAAACAGTCTGTGAAACCCATCGGCTAAAGAATTTCTATTGAAATGGCAATAATTTTGTAAACCATTTGGTTTTTGATAGTATTTTACTCTCCAGAGAAAAGTAAATAATTAGGGAATGCAGATACAACGGGGGCTAATTGTTCAAGAAACCATTTAATAAAACACGTCATATTCAGTGGCAGAAGATGCTAAATCACAACATTATGATCAGATGCATCTTTAACTAAGGGATTGGAAATGATTTACCGTATTAGGTGACTTCATAGTGTTAGATTAGCGTGTTTCTGGTGGTATTTTCTAGTATAATTTCCCATTTTGGGGGGAGTAGCCTATAGATATACAAATACATTATGCATCAAAGAGAGGATTGCGGTCATGTGTTGAATACTCTTTTACTGATTCCACTGGAGTTTGAGTTTCCTAGGAGCTTAATTTTGCACTCATCTAAAGGCAATTTAGGTATCATATGGATGATCTCAGAAGTTTTGTTCTGTCTATTCTTGAATATCAATACAATTTTTATGATGCAGAGGGTTTTCCTTCTTGAAGTAGGATTTCATTGATGCGACAAATGACATGGTGTAAGGTAGGCGTGGAGAGTACAACTGCCATTATCTTGTGTGGGTTATTTTGAAGCTTAGGCTTGGAAAGATGACTGATGAAGGGTTCATTTTTCATGGGTCCAGATTCAGAAGGCCAGATTATGGCCAATTCGAAAGTAGGTTTTATAAAGTAAGGAAAACTTTTAGCTTGTAGAAGCCAGCAGGATAGTGTTATATATAGGGTGTTGAAAAGATCGTTCAGTTTACTGCCATGTCACTTGGGTGTAAATCACATAGAAGACATACATGAAAACTTTAACTGAATACTAGAAACCCAATGAACGTGCACACAGCTTTGGCCTCAATGAGCTTGTACTAATTTTCCGTACGGCCATCGCTACTTTTCCTTAGTGCATTTCATGAATACTCTATCCCTATTTGCAAGCCCTTCAAGACTGAAAACTAGGCGCTAGAGGAGGCTTTGAATCTTGCAAAGGATTAAAGGCTTATACCCACAGATATTTTATTCTACTCGTATTTTATTTTGACAGCTGCTACACTTGTTCATAGCTATAGAATCATAGTTAAGGAGTGGAGTTGAAGATGGAGAAATTGAATTTGAACGACATGAGAATATTCCAATAACATAATATGACTTACCAGCCATGGATGGAGAGGCTATAGCTTCGAAGAATAGAAACCCACCCCGCACCCCCCCCCCGTTTCTTTTCATACCGAATGAATGCAAACACGAGTTTTACAGGTGCCCCTTTAACGACTGGCTGGTTAGTAATCTGAACTCTTACAAGACAAACATGACTTGGTGCATAACCTTTGGTCTACTTTGCTGTAAGCTATGGAATGCAAGGAGTCACCAAATCTTCTGCCAGGAAGATCTGCTGGCTTCTCGAGCGGTCAATGAAGTTTTAGCAATGGCTGACTATACCATCAAGGCCAATAGAATTTATCATTCTGTACTCTTGAACTAAACTTTGCTTTTTGTAACAGTCTCATCTTGTAAATAACCGTTTTATGAAATTACCTTTCACTCGAAAATAGAACGTCCGCCCCCAAAAAAAAAAAAAAAAAAGCTAGATGAAGTTAGACGGGTTGGTGCTTTATGTCTCTTCTAAGATATCATTGTCATCCTTACTCACCCGAAGTGCTCATGTTTTGAAACTTTGCGAAACTATCATTGTCATCTCTATTTAATCAAAGTTTAGTTTTGCCGATTTTGTTTGCTTTAGGATACTTGGTAATCCTTGAAAAAGGAACCAAGAAGGGGATGCGGTCAAAACGACTTGTAGTCCACAGGGCAGCAACCCCCCCCCCAAAAAAACAAAATATACATTAATAAACAACCTAAACAAACTAGAGCCGGTAATATGGGTTGGACTCGCGGGTTGAACCCCCAAAAGAGGTGGGTTAGGGTTGGGCTTTGGTCAACCCACCACCACCTAAATATAAGTCTGCACCGCCACAACCCGAGCCCGCCATGGGTCAGCCCGCAACCCGCCAACCCGCCAATTTTTTTTTTTAATTTTTATATATATTAAAATATTAGGAAATGGGCTGGAAAGGTGGAAAAAATTTATATTTGAACTTGTGTTTTATCATGTTTGGAGTTTGAACTTTGAACAATTGTACATTTTGTGTTTTAATGTGTTATAATTTTGTGTGAATGCTTAGAATACTTTAAATCATTTCTGATTTTTTTAAATTTTTTATTATTTATAAGAAATTTAAAAAAAAATCTGGCGGGTTGGCGGGTTAGGGTTAGTAGAATACCAACCCGCCAGAAAACGGGCCTTTTGAACCCGACCCAAATAATCCACAACCCGCCACAAGCCAACCTGCAACCCGTGGGTTGGCCCGTTTTACCAGCCCTAAAGCAAACTAGGATCAACAACAGGAGAGACCTTAATACCTAACAAGGGGAGGGGAACTGAAGGGAAAACCTAATACTACCTCCGGTCCTTAATATAAGATCATGTTTGACTTTTATTTTGGTCATAAATATAAGATTCCAATCCACTTTGTTTCTCATATTTACTCAATTTTTTTCAAGATAGTCCTTTTAATAATTATAGTTCTGGTCAATACATTTGATTAGCAAGGATATTTTAGAAAAGACAACACCTATTTAGGACAAATAACTAACTCAACTTACTTCCTTAATCTGCTCAAATTAGTTAACTGGCTCTTATAATTAGGACCGAAAGTAATATCTTGATGAATGACATCTTCAGAATGAGGATGCGCTCCCAGAGGCGGAAGAAAACTTTTTTAATGCATAATTTTTTTTTAAAAAAAAAAGGAGAATTAGCAATCCAATTTAAGCAAGCTCTAAAACAAAATACAGCCAAGGGGATTTGAAAATTGAGAGGCTTCTTCCAGATGAATCGCGAGCCGCGACCTTTTTATGATGAATAGGAAGGGAAAATCCATAACAACTCAGCTTCTTGGTTTGTTGTTTCTTTCACGTTCTCTGGTAGAGTTCACATCCGGGAGGACCCGGCATCAACCATAACAACATTCTTACCATTTACCATACGCCCACGTGAACGATTCAAGCCCCTGGACCAAAAAAATCACCAACTAATCACGATAAAGTATTTTACGATTCTCGGGCTGCTCACGAGATATCCTAGCCTTTTATTTCCCCGTATATTGCATTCTGAATGTTTGATTTTTCGAACTTCGCCGTTTTGCTCCATATTTTGAAAATGTACACATATATAGTATAACAAGTATTAAATACCCAGCTGATTACTGTGGAAATATAGTTTTTAAAATTTAAAGTAATTAAAAGTATATGTATTTTGTGCATATCTTGAAAGTTTGTACATATTTTTCAGTTTTTACACCCTGTCTCATATGAGGAAAATGGAGCCAGGGAGGAGAGGGGAGGGAAAATCTTAAAAGTTAGAGATATGAGGTTATAAAATTTTAATAAAGAAAATATGTAAAATAAAAATTAATTAAAAACTTTTAACTCTGCGTCTTTAATTTTTTAAACCAAGCACCTCAAAATTTCCCTTCCCTTCCTTTCATTTCCCCCATGGAAAACGGACCCTAAGAGTAAAAGAGCTTCTACAAAATTATCAAAATTTGATTTCTTTTTTAAGTTAACAAATGTAGATATTTCCTCCGTCAAAATTCGAATCTTACTTATAGTTAAAAGGCTACGGCCATGGGATCGAATCCGCATGAACGTAATTGTAAAGAACATCTTAAAAGAACTATCCTTGATTGAGCTCACCAACCCGTGCCTCCCGTCTGGAGATATTCCCCGTTGAGGGGGGAATTCTCCTCGCGTTGTGTTATAAGCACAGCATCTATGGAATTAAAGTTGAATTCACAAATCAGACTGAGCACATAGTCATATCATATTGCATTAAATAACACATGCAGGATGTAGGTGAAATCAAAAGATGCCATCAATTCGACGTCTCATCAAGTGGCTCCTTTCAGTCTCCCGTGTTGTTGACAATTCTTGGCCTCCAAGAAACTCAAATGTCATGTGCAGGTCAGACCCGAAATAACTTTCTGGACCGCATGGTTTTCTTCTACACGAATAAGTCAGAGAAGCAACCTGAACTTAAAATTAAAACTTAGACTAAATGTTCTTCTTTAGCTTTGCACGACTGGCCTGTTCCATGTAGAAATAGTGATTTCTTAGTTCTGAAGTGATGCCAGACCCTCGAGTCCGTGCAAAAAGACAATGTAAAAGAAGAGCGTAGAATTCTAAAATTCCACTTGAACAGAAAAAAGTATAAGAAATTCTCAGTATAACAGGGAGACACGAGAAAGACGATTAGGAACCAACCATGTGGAATGAGAAATGTGAGCGACAAAGTTTAATCCAAGGAGTAGTCTGATAGCTGGTCAAAAAAAACGGGACTAGTCTGATATTAAAGAGAAGGTCTAGTTCATTTCAAACATTAAATGCGTCAGTGTCAAATAAAACCTGCATAAAACAATAACAGCAGAATTAACTTCCCACTTTCCAGTGACCTCAGAGAACACTAACCAAGCACTATCTCGCACTCAAAATTAAAACAAGAAAGTCCCACCAGAAGAATTGTCCAGATCTTGAAAAGTTCTACCTTGCACCATGCAGTTATGATTGTGGAAACTTCGTCGCTTGGTACGTGTAAATAAGAAGCATCTCTCTTTCTCGTCTGCTATACATGTGATTAGTTACATACATTTCACATGTACTATACGAACACAATGAACTTTTCTTGGTGGTCTTTTTCTTTTTGTGCTTGAATGCTAGAAATGAAGATAAAGTTTACCCCTCAGTTGATTCTGAAAAGTATGTGGTCTTTCCTGAGCCAATTGTTGTACATTCAATGAATCGATGTTTCCTAAAGACCCGCAGAATCTGGCCTCTTCAAGTTCACAATTATTTGTAAAAGGACAGGCAGCTTTTACTTGCCTCTGCAACTGTTCAGCCAGACTCAGAAGTACAGGGATGAGGCTTCTTTTAAAATAATAATAATAATGAAAAGGGCCAACGTACTTCTCTCTTTGGATGAAGAAACTAAAATAAGAAAACTTGCATCCATATAAAAACAATAGATGGCATAAAGCAATTAGAATCAGTCATCGTTGTGGTTATTTGGATTATTCCTTACTGTTAGACATGAAACATGTTAATTCACGAGAGATTCAGAGCTTATTATCACTTTTGCCACATATAAGGAGCGTTTAAGACTTGAGAGATCAGATAAATCCCATATTTATTATGTCTGATCATCTGTACCAACCTTCCCTACTCTGAAATTTTTATCCTGTTAGAAAGAATAGGAGTGCAAAAGCAAATGGTGTTGACAAAACAAATCTGCCAATTTCATACAAATTTACAGACAGTGCAAAAAGCCATTTCATTCGAGTGATGATCAGATCAGGACTTAATAATGCTAAACTAGCCATTTGCTAATGACAAGCAAATTTTATAAGATTACATCTAGAATGAAAGCCTGACAAGTAATCTTTGAGCTGCCATGGTTAAAACTCAAACCCTTCACTTTCGGCGATGACGGTTTGACAAAGATTTTGAAGAACCTTGAAAAAGATCCAAAATCAACCCTTCCAGATCACCTACTGTGTACTTGATCCATTTCTCACTGATGCTGGATGAGATCCTCCCAATGAAAGTCCTGTAAGCATGAATCAGTTTCTGAGAAATTGAAATCTGTAGCTCTTCCCGAAGTTGAGGATCTGGGATAAACCATCCTGTCTGGGTTATATACACTTCCTCAAAGGCAGTATTGAAATCTGTGCATCTTCTCTTCAAGGTTGCCTTTAAACTCAAAGCGCAATGTTGCCTACTGTCCTTACTGTCCTCCTTTAGCATAGAGAGGACTGAACTCCAAATGGCCCTCTCATAGCTTATAGCTTCATGCCGAAACTTCCCTGTGTTTCGGCGAAGCCATTCATCCCCAAAGAATTGGCTTAGTTCAGAGCTCTTAACCTTTTGGACCATGTAATGAATGTTATTCATCATGAAAATATGTTGTAAGGACACGTCTTTGTATAACTTGGACTTGTTCCTCAGGTTGGATTCTAATGCGGTTGTTATTGACCTGAAGTGGCAAGCCATTGGACAAGTTGCAAGGGCTGTCGTGCTATCATGTTCAGTATCTGGTGGAGCTTCTGCACTTACATCCGCAAGAAGCGGACCAAGGGTGCCCTCATATCCAGTGATTGTCTTGATGTAATTCATGACGTACTTGGTGAGATGGTGGATTCCCCCTCCAGGGAACTTCTTTGTTGATGGATAAGTTGCAATAGTACTTTCGAATGCCAGAAATGTTGACCTTACAGTGTGACCAAAGCTCCTTACCAGCTTCTGAAACTCGTTCCTAAGGAAACAACCAGCTTCTTCAAAGAACAAGATATTTACAACTAAAGCAAGATCCTCCAGAACCTCGTACATATCAAGTAAGCGGAACAATCTCTCTGGGGTATGGGTTCCCACTGCAATAGCCTCAGCAAAATTCAAAAGGGGCAGCATAAAATTCCTTGATATTTCACAAAAGCAAGACTCATAAACAGATCCAAATTGTCCCAGAATCTGTTTACACAAACGTTTTTCGCTAGCAAGATATACCTTGACGATGATCTTCATAACCCGAATCCATTTCTTCATCTCAGAGTTCAAGCAACTCCAATCCATTCTCAGCACATGCTCAATGCTCAACTTTTCCATTCCAAGAATAACAAAGTACTCATCCAAGGCATGCCTCCTGGAAGTGATGAAAGCCTGGCAGAATTCCTGATGGTATTTTGAGGCAAACATGACGTCTGCGATGCATTTGAGATCCAGAATTACATCAGGACGCACCAAATCTAGAGTGCAAGCCTCAGGTTGGCTAAAATCACCATCACTCTGGGATACTTCCTCAACTGGTTCATCCTCAGCTGAACCAAACGATTCATCAAACACCATATCAACTCTATTAGAATGAAAAGACATGTATTCAGGCTCAAAAAATTGCTTGTGCTGAACAAGAATGTGGACCAACTCTTCCTCAAGCCTCGACATAGCAATTTGCAGCACTCCATCAGCTCGCTGAACAAGTTCCTTCTGCTTCCCCTTTTCATTCACAGAGAGGGTCTGCAAACTTTGAGTCACAGATTGGATTTCACCAACAGCATTTAAATACTCGGAAGATTCCCCAGGGCCAGAATCCCATATCATCAAATTATTTGCCTCCCAACTCATTACCTTGTCCTCAGCACATTTAAGACGCCTCTCTAATTCCCAGATACCTTTTCCATTTCTGTCAGCGAGCCTGGTAGGCATTGAAGACAAATGATTCTCAAGATCCAAGAGAGATTTTCTTAGACCATCATTGACGTTCTTGCTTGCTGCTAATGCCTTTAAAATGTGCTGAGCCGCAGCTACCACATGTTGCTCTCCTTCATAGGTAGAGATGCTAGATTCATGTTCCTCCATTATGGTGAGGATGGGAAAGAAAGCGGGAAAACAAAGAAAGAGAGAAAGAAATTGAAAACCGAGAGCACCCTCTGCAGATGAATAGGATCTGATTTCTGAAATGCTTCTTTAACAATCTAAACCCGATGATCTCAGAGAAGCATTTGGAGGTCCAATACAGAACCGAAAATGGTATAGAATCTTTCACACGAGAAAATTGAAAAGAAACCAGAACAAAAGAAAGTTTATTTCATCATCCCTATGGATTTAAAATGTGAAGCTTCCCGATCTAAAAAGGATCAGGAACAACATGTATGGAAGAACAATATCAGAACTTTCTTTCTACTTTTGTCGTGTGACCGTTTGGCCCTCATTCCCATTTAGTAATCAGATACTAATAACAATCAGGCCCACTTCCCAGAAAATATAAACTCAAAACTCAACCCACAATCAAAGTCGCAGCAAAGAAAAGATAACTCTCCGCCCATTGACTCTCCCACCAACTTCCTGGGAAGCTTGAACAAGGAAATTCCTGACACTGGAGTCTGGAGAGGACGCACACACAAGTCACTGGAGTCTGGAGAGGACGCACACACAAGTCTAAATTCTAGAAATGGATGAAAATTAACGACAAACCCGGAGGAGTTCGGTGCCCCGACCAAACTTAAATTTGAGACAGTGGCACAAGAAGTTATCCCGATGCAGAAGCTGGCTATTGCTACGAGAAACTGAGAAAGTGTGGGAAAATTTTGTGGAGGCAAAGAGGTCAAGAGAGAAAATGGGATTATGCAGCTAAGAATATGGAAGGGACGTCTAAAAAGTGGAGCTTCAAGGAGCTATAGAATTGTGCAGGCGGAGCTTTTTCCTCCCTCAAAAGCACTTTCATTACACCTTTAACAATGCTTTGACTTTTGACTCGTACCGGCATTTGACTAGCCAATAAAAAATAACCATTGAATCTTGCGAGAAATTGGGCAGCAGTCGTAGCTCCGATAAAATACTGATCTCCGTATTCCTACACCCAAAATTTGTCTCGTTTGTAAAGAGCCCAATATTTTTTTTTTTTGTATACGAATATATTTTTGGAAAAATGATAAAAAAAAAATCATCAAAATAAAAAAACTGTAAATAAGGACCTACAATGATATCAGTAGGGTTTTAACAACAATTTTACAAACTCATCTTTGTATGCAATTTTTCTATTTCAATGGTTTTTTTCCACCGTTTTCTCTATATTTTTTATAGTGCCTAAAAAGTAAAAATCAAAACGAAAAACAAAGTGGCGCAATTACTAACTAGCTGGTGTGAGTATGGCTATGTGCAGAAGAATCTTAATTAAAATGAACCAATAGAAGAGTTTTCATAATACTGGCCTGCAAAATACACTAGTTTTAATGTTAGTGAAGGATACTTCTAATCTGAAAGAAAATATAATTTGATTAATATATAAACTTAACAAGAGATGCAAGTTTGCAACTTACCTTAAGATATTCAAGTAACCAAATATACGTTTTTCAAAGGGAGGCGTGGGCTAGTGCTATGCCACAATAATACCTCTTTTCAAATGTATAGAAGCTTTTGTGCCATATTATATTATAGAACTCAAGGAACGTGTAATTGGGTTTGGGTGGTGACAAAAATTGTTTATGAATTCAATAATTAATAATTCGAGTGTTCTTTAAATTATAATAACTGAATGCATGACCAGTAAATAAATTTCAGTGGTGAAAGTCTGAAATGTACATCTGAAAATAATTATTGACGCCTATGGGAAATGGAGAAAGTGATGAAAATAAAGTGAACAAGTCCAAGCTTTAGTTGGGTTTCAAAGGTGGGGAAAAGAGTGTTACTACCTCCGGTCCTAATTATAAAACCCAGTTGACTAATTTGAGGAGATTAAGGAAAGAAGTTAAGTTAGTTATTTGTAATAAATAGGCGTTGTCTTTCCTAAAATATTCTTACTAATCAACTATATTGGCTAGAACTACAATTATTAGAAAGACTACCTTGAAAAAAATGTATAAATATGAGAGATAAGATTGATTGAGGTCTTATATTTAGGACTAAAATAAAAGTCAAATAGGCTCTTATATTAAGGATCGGATGTAGTACTATTTTACACTTAATCAAGGATAAAACTTTCGGTACCAATTGGGTCGTTGAGGGCAATTGGAATGACAGGAGTGGCGCGTATGAAGCTGATTGGCTGGGTTAGTTAGGAAGAAATTTCCAATTTTCAAAGGTCATGCAAAAAAAAAAATCTTGACTTTGCAAATCAGGACTATTAGCTGTCTGCTTGGAAAACATGTAACTTGCCCATCAAGACAATCAAAATGTTTACTTTGAATTTGATGTTAAGCGTGAGATTATCAACGGATTTGCGATCATACTTATCTATTCCTAATGAATGGACGTGGGAGGAAATGGGGCCCCAAAAAAACTCAGTGATCATTATTAATGACCATGATTTTTGAAAAAAGTTGCAAGTTAATTATTATTTTCTTTTGTGTGTTGTGTGGAAAAATGAAAAGAAAAAGTATAACTCGTGTGACTTATGAGAATATTGAGCATTTTATTATTCATATTCCTTTAAAATTTCAGCAATAATTCAGTCAATACCTTAAAATTATGCATCATTTTCTGTTGACTTATTTTCCTATTTGTTTTTTAGGTGCAGTTGTAAGTCATGCGAATTTTTTTCCGCCGGTGAGATGACTTCATATCATATTCACAATAACAAACCATGGAAGAAAAAAAACGAGGGGGGAAAAACACTACACAAGTACATAAAAAAGGGGTAACAGATCCATTTTGACATCCCTAGACAAACCAATATGGTACCCCAACAGAGGCTTAAATTTAATGAAATGAGCCGGTCCTCACAAGTTACAAACACGGGGAATTAATATTTAAATTTTTATTAGAAGAGGTGGTCATATTTTTTAATTTCATTGTGTCTTGAACATGATCATATGCGAAGGAGGATACCTATGTTCAACAAAAAGGAAAATGTCGTGGTGCATTTAGCATAATTTGACATATTCTTCCTCAATAGTCTCATAGCCCAGTAAAATAAAGGTTTTGTAAATATGAGGAAAGAGTCGTAATCTCAGGCTGAGACAAAACTGTTACTGTTTTAAATTTTCACATTAAAAAAAAAATTCTAATCTGCTCTTTAACCACCAAAAAGAGAAAAAAAACTACGAGAGGTTTCTTGGTGATGCACGCCTCTTCCAAGTTCTTGGTTGCCAAAGTAGCCCAGCGGGAGAACTGCCAAGGACTGAAGGAAAAAAATACTAATACTATCTCTGGTCCTAATTATAAGAGTTAATTGACTAATTTGAGGAGACTAAGAAAAGAAATTAAGTTAGTTATTTGTAATAAATATGTGCTGTCTTTCCTAAAATATCCTTACTAATTAAGTGTATTGGTTATAACTACTATTATTAGGGGGACTATCTTGAAAAAATATGTAAATATGAGAAACAAAATGGATTGAAGGTTTTATATTTAGGATTAAAATAAAAGTCAAATAAGATTTTATATTAAAGACTGGAGGTAGTATTATGTTTGACTCAAAAAAAAATACTAGCATCATGTTATTTTCATATCAATGATTATTTTGATAAGAATGCAACCCTCCACAATTGAAAAGATTTATAGAAAAATTTAAATATTTTCCTTATTCAGCCAAGGAAATCGGAAACTTTAAGGTAATTTTTAGATGGAAATCTTCTAATCCTTGAGTATTTTGCGTGGAGCAATCTTCTAAGATTCTAAGGCAACTGGCATAATGGGAATAAAGCTCTGAATCGCCCATTCAATGAAACTATATAGCAAGCAAAGATAAAATAAGAAGGCGCAATTTAAACAGACGAAATTATGCCAGAATAAGACGCCTAAATTTATGGCACGCCATCTCTTTTATCTGAAGCATTTCTTATACCATCTCTTCACCCCAAAATCCCTCTCTCTCTTCACTTCGTCGCCTTCTTCTCCTGTTTTTTTTCCTACCTATTTCTTCATTCCTTTCTTATTCTCTATTGTCTGGAGGCATGGGGGGCTGCTGATTTCCCGGTCATCACAAATTTAACTGATTTAGGGGTCCAGTCGGCAGTCTCTGTATTCTTCTTCTTCTTTGGCTCATTGGTTTTCCCACGTAAGTTTCCATTTTCCTCAATTCACTCACTCAAATCGAATCTTTTTTCTGAGGCTGTCTCTTTAAGAATCTGGAATCTGGATATCTTCCATGTTATCTGGTACGAAAAATCGTCAATAAATAGCTACATTTGTGCAAGGCTCGTACGTCAAGTTTCTTTGGGCAGAATGGAACCGAGATAGTTGAAGTCTCAAAAATGCACAAACTTTACACATATTCTCTAAACTTAGTGATTTTTTTCCAGTTATACCAATAATTTGAGACCAGAACTATTTTTGGTATTCCTTGACACGTGCTCGTGTAAATTTGTTTGGTGGTCAACTGTAAAATGTGCATTTGCATTAATTATGGCGAAGTGATAAATTTGCATTTACTTTATATGGGTTCTGACTTCACACGGCTAAAAAAAATTGTTCTCAATTCTTGTACGGACAAGTAATAAATCTTACAAAGAAACAAAGCAAATCCGCGTGTTCTTGTTTGGGTCTGTGCATTGAGATATGATATTTTAGCTCTGAACATGGCACAAAATAGAGAATCACCTGAGGTTTTTGCTAATGGAACCTGTTTATGGCGATGGATCCAGTGGCGATCGAAGAACTGGTGCTGCAACAGATTTTCATGATCATCTTCATTCTCTGCATTGTCAAAGTTGGCGACAAAAGATCCCTTTCAGTTCCAAAGAATGCAATCACCTAGAACATTCTTCAACCAAACCATTGCCAGCTCGATCTGCAGAAAGCATTTCCAGTAATGGAGCAACCAGATGAAAGCACCGTGAAGAACTCGGGAAATAAGCCACCGTCACCGCAAAATTCATTGGAAACACCGAGTAGTGCAACGAACAATGAACGTGCAATTGCTAACCGTCAAGAACTTTCAGATTCTGAAACAATCAACGTCAATCGTTCAGGTAATCCCTCCATTAGGCCTGAAACCCAATCTTCCTCCCCCACAAATCATCAAAGTCCAGATCCTTCTTCGTCTTCACCACCACCGCTGCCGCTGACGCCGTCGCCGCCGCTGCCGCCGCCACCCAAAATTGATGTTCCAAACCCTAAATCGACGTCGGTCTCTCGAGCACATTCAGACGGCAGCGACGATGATTTCCCAGTCAGCTCAATGCCAGATCCCGGACCAGCAATACAAAATCCTCCGGTGCAGGTAATGGAACGAGCAGAGGAACCCGACACACCGTCGGCGTACAGGATTCCTTCCCATGTATTCGATAGAACAAACACAGGCACACCAGAATGGAGCGTTGCGTCGAACGAATCACTGTTCAGCATCCACATGGGGAATATGAGTTTCTCGAAAGAGTTGAATTGGTTGAACAGCGAGATGTCAGGTCCTCTGCCTCCATTAACTAGCGACCACAACAATGGTGGGAACACGAATAATCAGAGCCAAGATAACAAACCGAACGATCCAAGCACAAGTAATCAAAGCCAAGTGAACAATTTAAACGACGCAGGCAAAAGTGATCAGAGCCAAACGAACAAACCGAACGTTACAAGCACAGGTGATCAAAGCCAAGCAAACAAGTTCAGCGATATGAGCGAGAGTGTAGGGAGGTTCCATGAAGATTACGATCCAATGATTGAAGCAAAAGCTGCAGAGACAATGAGACAAGTTATAATGGAAAACTCAGAAGATTACGATTTGTTATCTGTTTCTGTGGCGTCTCGTGCCGATGAGTCTCATCATAATAATAATAATACTAATAATATTCACGAACTTTCTCGCCATTCAGATTGCAGCACCAAGTCTTTTGCCTTTAACTCGTGAGTTTCTCGTAAATCCTATCGCATTCCCTGCAATTTTCCAGTTCAATATATTACATTTTGGAATCATAAATTTCTCTTTGGAACTGAAACATGTTTGTGTATGTGTTTGCGATTTGCAGACGGCCAGAAGGAGAAAAGAGCCAGCGTTCTCCAAAAGGGGTACAAGAGAAGCCAAAGCAGAAGACGCCGGCAGAAACAGGAACCCCAAAAGAATCATCAAATTCAAAAGCATCATCTCAAGCATCAAAGCAATCTTCAAATGCTCCTTTCAAATGGTTTTGTTGCTTCACTTGCTGCATTAAATAATGATACGTGTGGTGTCGCTGGGTTATCATCAGCTCCCAGAAGCCTCTTAGCATAAATTGCCAGAACCGTTGCTTCATTATAAGCATGCCATGCAATAATCTTATTAACGTACAGGCTAGTTTATTTATTAATTTATTAATTATATGCATGATTGCTCTCTGCAATACGTGATAATATCTCTAGTTAGACTAGTCAGTTACGACCCATTTTTTCAATTTGTTATTTCTTTTGTGGCATGCTCATTCTGTACACCTTGGTTGGGGAATCATTTATTGGTTTCCTCCAATCAACACTGTATAATATTTGGTTTGTAGAGTTTTCTCAGTGTTAATCCTGGACACGCACATATACAGTACTCATAAACTAATGTGGGGGTTGTGTGCTGCGCATAGTTTAAGGTGGGCCAGATTGCTTCAGTCATGCTGTACGTATTATCAACTTCAGTTGAAGTTGGTTTATAGCAAAAAAAACTTCAGTTGAAATTGGTATTAATAGCAAGTAACATCATTTATAGAGCTGCAAATAACTCAACTTTTTTAATTTTATGCCATTTAAACACATATATGCATATACATATCAACACCCAAGTTAAGAGTGTGAACCTCATTTGAGTGTGTGCTGACGCGCTGTTATTGCCATTGGTCTTGAATCATTTTTTTAACACTGAACAGGGAAACACATGTTAGAATATAAGTACTATCTCCAGTTCTTAATATAAGACATAGTTAATTAATTTGGAGAGATTAAAGAAGTTGATTGAGTTAGTTATTTGTAGTAAATAGATGTTGTCTTTCCTAAAATACCCTTATTAATCATGTGTGTTTGAATTACTTATTGACAGTAACTCCTTAACATATACAGGTACTATAAGAATTATATGAGGAAAAAATAGATAAATATAAGAGATAAAATGGATTAAACTTTTATATTTATGACTAAATTAAAAGTCAAAGTAGCTGTTATATTAAGTATTGGACTTAGTATATAATAAAAATGCATTGTTTTATAAATTGTATATGAGACATGTAGTATAAGTGAATTTACGTTCATCAAACACAAATTTTTTTTTTTTTACCAGCATCAAACACAAATAATTTATACAATACACAGGTAATAATATTAATATTGACGTGAATAATAAATCACCTACCTAGATGGACATCAAATCCATTACCCGCTTTGTTTCACTGGGCCGCGTAGGTAAGACTTTTAAACATGTTGCAATTAATGTATAACAGATTTTTTAGCTTTAATTATAAAAATTTAATTTCATTTACACAACTTAATTAATTTCGACAAGGTAATTGTTCAAAAAAATATCAGATAATTATCTGAAAAAAAAATCAGCTGCGCATATTACCCGTTTTTAATATTATATTCATATAAGCATTATCATCACTCATAATTCCTAATTATTAACAACTCTGCATCTACCTAATGGATATTACGATACAAAGTTACAAATTAATAGTCTAGCAGACGATTAATTTGGTGCAGCTTCTCTCATTTTTCTTATTTTCTACAAGAATAGTCTTCTTATGGCCTTAACCTTTGAGTCTGACAACTCTCCTCTTTTAAGCCCTGTTTCAATTTTTTTTAAAACTGAAAAAGCTACACATACTATTTAAATTATTTTAAAAGATTTTTTATATTTTTTTAAACTTTCAAAAACAATAAAAACTTATAAATTTAAAAAAATACTCAGAGGCTCAGGCCAAAAAAAAAAACTCATTGGCTCTTAATTTTTTACCATCAATTTGCTTGACCTGCATATTTGAGCAAGCACTGTATTTATTTATTTCTTCATTCTCCGACGGAAATTAGCAATCATAAGGGGTGGGCCGAGAAATGCTGGTTGAGAATTGGAAAAAAAAAAGGGAAAAAGAAAAGAAATGACAGGCAGCTGAAAAAGTACCGCGAAACTAGATGCAAATTTGAAAGAGGGAAATTCTTTTGGGCCCAAACGCGGTGGCAGCGGGAGGAAAACAATTCGAGACCATTTCCCGCCAGAACACGCTTATACAATAATACAAATACACCCACTCACTTAGTTTCAGAACTCATTTAGTCATTTTGTTCCGTTCATCTTTTAGCTTCAAGCGCCTGAAATCATATACAGCAAAAGAGGATGGCGAAATCAGTTACCTCCGACGCGATTTCGATATTGCTTGCCAACCCCTCGCCAGATTCTTCCTCGGAGCTTCCAGAGATCATCGTCCAAGTTCTGGATCTCAAGCAAAGCGGTAATAGATTCATGTGAGTCTTCGCCCTTTACCTTCTGCTATCACATGTTTGTTTGTTTAATTTAATCTGTACAAATTTTATGCTATGCTTAAGTGTTCTATTTTCTTTGTCTTTGTGATGTGGGATTTTATCTGGGGATTTCTTTCTCCTTCGCATAATCAACTGATTCCTACCCACTATAATACGAGTGGGTTTTGTGGTTTGCAAACTGGGATTCTTGAAACTATCTTCTTTTGGCTCCGTGCTCGAACTTTTTACCCGAGATGTTTATGACTTTGTAATCTATTGTTATATTTGTGCTTTGATCTTTATTCGGAGAAAATAAAACCCGTCAGTCGCTATTCCTGATATTTGATAGTTTTCTGTGCCTGTGTTCATGAAATCTATTGACTTTTGACATTGTTGGTTGCTGATCTGCTATAGGTTCACGGCTAGCGATGGAAAGGTGAAGTTAAGGGCAATCCTCCCTTCTAATCAAAATTCCCAAGTCATTTCAGGAAGTATTCAGAACCTGGGTCTTATCCGCATAGTTGATTATACTCTCAATGATATCCCAAATAAGTCAGAGAAGTAAGTGTTTGCGATGCCCCTAACACATGACTTCATATATTAACTACTTTTATGATATGCTGAGATCCCATGTCTTGTTTTGCTTTTATTTTGTAGATATCTTATTGTTACAAAATGTGAATCAGTCTCTCCCGCTCTTGAGATGGAGATAAAAACAGAAGTCAAGAGTGAGTGCCCCACCATTCTTTTGAATCCAAAGCAAGAGTGTGAAATCAATAGTGAGGCGAAAAGTGAAGCTGCTGGCATTATTTTGAGACCAAAGCAAGAAATGGTGTCCAAATCTGCCGCTCAGATTGTATACGAACAACACACAAAGTAGGCATTCCTGTGATATTGTTTGTATTCTATTCCTGATGAAATTTCAGGCTCAAAATCTTTTAAGCTTTATTGGTTTGACTCTGAGCATTTGACGCTTTTTTAATTGATATTTCAGCACTGCCCCTTCTGTACGGATGGCCATGACACGCAGGGTGCGCCCTCTTGTTTCCTTAAATCCTTATCAGGGTAATTGGACTATAAAGGTTCGTGTAACAAACAAAGGGAATATGCGTTCCTACAAGAATGCTAGAGGGGAAGGTTGTGTCTTCAACGTGGAATTGACAGATGAAGATGTAATATTCAAACTGTGAAAAACTATTCTTTAACTGTAGATTGAGTATTTCTGCAGTTTTTAATTCCATCTGGTTGTAACAATGCAGGGCACTCAAATTCAAGCAACAATGTTTAATGAGGCTGCCAGGAAATTTTATGACAGATTTGCGCTTGGGAAGGTTTACTATATTTCCAAGGGAACTTTAAAGGTTGCCAACAAACAGTTCAAGACTGTCCAAAACGATTATGAGATGACGCTGAATGAGAACTCTGAGGTGGAAGAGGCAGCCAATGAAGAAAGTTTTGTTCCAGAAACAAAATTTAACTTTGTCCCGATTGATCAGCTGGGTCCTTTTGTCAATAGGAGTGACCTTGTTGGTGAGTATTATCAAGAAGGTGTAGCACATCTATGTTGAATTTTTAGACGCCCTTTTATAATGTCTACTTTTGTGAATTTCAGATGTCATGGGAGTTGTTCAGAATGTGTCTTCCACTATGAGCATTCGAAGGAAGAGTAACAATGAGAGTATTTCAAAGCGTGATATTACTATTGCTGATGAAACGTTAGTAAAAGCAACTTCTCCCCGTGATTAACATTTGTACTTCTGTATTATACTGAATATCCTAATATATAAACTTTTCCAATTGCAGAAAGAAGACAGTGGTTGTGTCTTTGTGGAGTGAACTTGCAACTAATGTAGGGCAAGAATTGCTGGACACTGCTGATAAACTTCCAATAGTTGCAATCAAGTCTCTCAAGGTTGGGGATTTTCAAGGTATGTCAACTTTATGTTGATTGGAATTGGATAGCATAGCATGATAGTAAGAGCCTTATCTGACGTGCTTGTATCTCTTCTATCTCAGGCGTTTCCTTGTCAACTATAAGCAGAAGTGCAGTTCTGATTAATCCTGATATACCTGAAGCGAAAAGGCTTAGATGCTGGTATAGTATTTTCCAGAAGCTACTTTCTCTTGTCATGACATTATAGTGGAAATCTTAGTCATGTCCCGTACTGTGTCGACAGGTATGAGTCTGAAGGTAAAGACGCTCCCATGGCTTCCATTGGCTCTAGTGCATCTGTAACCAAAAATGGAATGAGATCAGTGTACTCTGACCGTATTTCTCTTGCTCAAATAACCTCAAACAAGTCCTTGGGAGAGGACAAGGTAATATATTAATTCTTTGCTGCTGTTTGATATGAATGCTCGATGTAACTATAATCGAACAACTTGCAATTTCAGTGAATTGTCGTAGTTAACAATTAAATCATGAGTTTGATGCGGTCTCTGTTGCTTTTGGCAGCCTGCATTTTTCAGTATCAGGGCACATATAAGCTCCATTAGGCCTGATCAGACAATGTGGTATCGGGCTTGTACAACTTGCAACAAGAAAGCCACTGAAGCCATTGGATCTGGCTATTGGTGTGAAGGTTGCCAGAAAAACGTTGAAAGCACTTTAAGGTAATGCAGTAAACTCTGCTTAAGTGAAAGACTCTCTAACTGGGGACTTGATTTTGCTAATTTACTAAGGGGTTGCTTTTCTATAACTTGTTAAATTTATCATTTTGTTTCATCTGTTTTAGGTATATTTTGGTTGCAAGAGTTTCTGATGCAAGCGGCGAAGCTTATGTCTCGATCTTCAATAATGAAGCTGAGGCGATCGTTGGGTGTTCTGCTAATGAGCTAGATAGCCTAAAATCAGAGGTAGATTGCCAGTAACCTAAGTTTAAATTGTCTTTATGACAATGTGACCATGCTTTTAAACTTCATTCATGTATTGTTGATTTTAGGAGGGAGAAGATAATCCGTATCAAATGAAATTGAAACAAGCGACCTGGGCCCCTCATCTATTCCGTGTTAGTGTTTCTCAGAATGAGTACATGAACGAGAAGAGGCAGAGGATAACTGTCCGAGCTGTTGCTCCAGTTGATTATGCTGCTGAGTCAAGAATTCTCCTGGAAGAGATTTCAAAGATGACAGCTCCACAATAAAGTTGATATGCTTATTTTGAGTTTAGGTTTTCTGAATCACAGCCCTTTTTCGTTCTTGTTATTGGCTCTAACTAATGTATATATCTTCGTAATTTATCTATATGCACTATGCTGGCGGCCTTTCCCGTTATTACAGCTCTGGATGCGAAAAATATATTGTATTAGTGTAGTCTTTTAGTCTTTTAAAAAGATAGCAATGAAAGCTTTTGAATTCATGAATGTGACCACTTAGTTTTAGACTTGGCTGTGTAGAAATAGAATTTGGTCTACGACTGATTTATTAATGCTCTAGACAAATAGATGCGAGCGTTTTAAGTGCAATTTGCAACTTGCGGTGCGTTGTATTCCTACATGATACAGCTTTCAGTTGTGTCTTTTTTTGTTTTTCGGATTAGATAAGCGAAGGGGTCCACCAAAAAAGGACACTTGGGCTTTGAAAATACACCCGTCGGCATTGCCTTTTGGATTTTTCTTTTTGATATGAAAAATATTTAGGTGAGTTGGGTTGATTTTTTACCAACTATATCAACTGTTGTTGGTCATTGCCCATTGTAGTTACATTTTTACTATCAAAACAATTTTCTGCATGGTACATAACTCCTAGGAAGCATGAGCAAATAAAGTGGTTCAAGATACTTTATGTGTGCTAAAAGCCCAAAACAGGTATATTAAACATTAATTCACTGTGATTTTATCACTCAATGCCATCTCATAACATAATGAGGATGAATTGTGTGATTTACTAAACTTTAGTTGTGCATCAAGTCATCAGCTTACCATGTTTAGAACAACTTTACTAAATTTTAATGGTGTTTCCCACTTACTGTGGGAGAAAAGGCACATGTACATTGGAACTAAATTAGTTTCCACACCAGCACGCAATCACATTAGCATGCCATGAACTAATAAATCCTGCAAACAAATTGGTTCGCTATAACGACTTTAATGTTATCCCAACTTTGAACTCTAATACAAAGATACTAAAATCATGGTGTATTAATTAGTTTCATTACATCAGAAATGCTATCTTCTCCGAGATGAAGTCTTCTGTTTTACCCATTCTAGTATTGAAATTTCAATTATCTAGAAAAAGAGAATTATTATAAATTTTTACGAGAAGGAAAAACCATCTTATTTGGAGTTTTCCTTCACCTAAAGGAGCAGACATTATGGACAACTAAGTAAGATAACTTTTGTTTCCTCTGTACATCGCAAGAAGGGTGAGTGACCAAGAAACTTAAAAGGGGTTGGAACAGACAGTGATATGCTTCATGGGATTGGCCACATCCTTGCCGCCAGCATGCCTCACGAATTCCTCTGGAGTCAGAAACTTGCCATGGCAGACACAGACGATGCTGACTTGGCCTCCCCTATAAGTATATAGAAAGCCCCGTATTCTCTTCCCGCCGGGGCCATCTCCGGTGGTAGTCACAGTCGGCATTTTGCTAAGGACTGCCAAATCTTCATATCTAAGACTGCAGGGTTCCAAAGGCCTAAGCTTAGGCCTTTTCGGTCGATTCTCCAGTCTGGTATCAGCAGGCCTTGGTGGCAAAACCCTAGCCATTGGTTTCGGATAAAACATGATCTCTTTGCCCCTGTTGGATGATGTCTGGAAGTTGGGATTGGCCCCAACTCCAGCCAAACCTCTCTGGCCTGTGTAGGGCATGCCATATGGACCATTAACGAACAAGCCTTTTAGAACAGAAAGAAAGAACAAAAGAAGTTCAGATTCAAATGAGTATGATAAAATGACAAAACAGTTGAGTGACAGTATTAAGAACTGTGGCAAAAAGAAAGTCTTAGTTACTTATCATCCAGAAAAACAAAATTACAAATTATTATAGTCAAGCAAATAAATAGTCTTTAAATGAAACACTGCAAGTCATAATTTAACTACAGCTATACATCATCAGATATTATCCACATACCACATGATTAGGTAGAAGAACACAAGATAGAACCACATAGAAGCATTCGTAATTTATTAATCTTGGACCAGTTGCAAATCTAGATGGGAAAATTATTATCCAGTTTTACTGTCATGAATATTAAGCCGTGTTTCAAATCATTATAGATAAATGATTCAGAGATACGTATTCAGTGCTAAGATATAAGCCTGCAGCATCCATGACAATTGTCTTCTAACAACTATAACAGTGATGTCTGTCCAAATTCCAGTAGTCCTGTTGGCGTGAGATTGGTTGTGTTTGGGCTAAGCCTGTAATTTAGTGACACCACCATGAGACTGCATTGGCTTAAGCGAGCATGTAGCCAGCCGATGGTGATGCTACTACCAGCAAAAACTGACAGACCACCTTGTAAAGCTCGAACATTTATCTGGACTAAGTGGAGAACATAATTTGTTTCCCAGACACATTGTTTGAAATTAGACTTGAACCCTTGCCCACTTGTTTTTATTTCAGCTCTAATAGATGAAGACAGGACAGCCAAACATTGAGTTTATAAAGGAAAAGCCAAACAATATGAAAATTATTGACATGAGATCCAGAGAGAGATTAAAAAGCTGTGCATATATATATATATATATATATATATATAATTTTAATGTATCCTTATGAGGTGAGGAGAACCGGGGAGGAAGGTCCAATATAATGGAGGCTTGATAAAGGAACAGCAAAGAAAAACACATGCATATTTCAGTGAATCTGATCATTTTAAGTGGTAACGATTGATAATCTAGGCTGGTCCAAACATATCAAGCAATGAACAGCATCAGACAACGTCAATAACATAAACATATTTGACAAGAAGAAGCATCAGACAAAGAGGTTGAAACCTTGCTGTCCTTTTTTCTCACAACTACTAAACTACTCACCTTCATGGGTCCTATAATGACTTGTTACTTGTATTACTGCTCACAGAAAAATGATAGAGAATTCTGAGATCTAACAGAATTTCTAAACTTGCTTATTAGTTAATTAGCATGCTTGTAATTAAAAATACATTACAATGCCTCTTATGTTATCTTAACAAGATATGGATCTTCTTTCCTCTCAGGGAGAAGCTTCTATAAACATATATTGCTTAGATTGGAGTTGGGTAGTAGGCTTTACAATCAATTGGTGATATTTTCCATTGTCGTTTCTTTAGTTGTCATGCTGCCACATACAATCAATCTTACACAACACACTTATGAGACTTACTAGTAGATGCTTTGTCGATGACCTGTCACCTTTAGATTCATCGTATCATGCATGTTGCAACACATCCCTTGTCACGTTTAAGTAGTATCCACGGTGGCAACGGGTATCTTTTACAGTAATATTCTCGGAAAAACGACATAAATAATGCTTTCATGCACCCTATACCTCCGGAGCGAAGCAAGAGATTCTATTTTAATTCATCAAATTTATTTTCTCCCTATTTAACTCTTTTCAGCACTACTCACCATCACCAATATCAAAAGGATCCGACTTGAACATAGTTGCGCAAAAACTTAATGATCATAAATTAGCTAAAATTCACTTAGGAAAGAAGAATGACATAAAGAAGAAGAGGAATATAAAGCGTTCAAAAACAAAAATCGACGTATTCTTTGACCACTCAATTGCAACTCAAACCATAAGTATTAAGAGCCAAGCAATTTTGTGCCAAAAAAACAGTCAAGCAATTAATTCTTAATCAACCCTGACAGCGGAGGAACAAAAAACTAATTCGGAAATATACGTATACAAGGATGTTAAGCCACAAAAAAAAAAAAGGCATCACCATATATGATACAGTCAGCTTACCGCGATGATGGGGCACATTTATATATATATATATATATATATATATATATATTATCATTCCAGAAGCATTTCTTCTCATTTTGCGTGTTCGGCAATAATTAGAAGACTAATGTCAAACTTAATTTGATTACCAATCAATCAAACCAGAAACATAGTAAAGAAAATGAAGTTACCTTCATGCTTTGATGAAGCCACGGAAGGATTTTCCAGTATCGTGAGCTTGACAGCGGCAGGAGAAGTTGCAGGAACCTTTGAAGCACCAACAGCCGCACCAAACTTTCTCGCCGCAGCCTCCGCCGCTTTCCTCATCCGCTCTTGGAGCCATCTCCTCCCAGTCTCAGCCCTTCTCATCGTCTGCAAATCCCCAAACCTCAGAAGAGCCCTCTCAGCCTCCACGGGAAGGGAAGAGGACCTATACAAAGAATTAGAGGAATTCCAACGAACCCCATTATCAGCCATGAGGGTGAGATCTCCAGGAATGGTTGACGACCTCGTCAAAGGCACTTCTTCTGCATTTTGACTATAGAACCCATCCATAGAAAGATCGAGGGAAAGGTTTAATTGTTTCACATTGTGGGATGACTCAGAGTTGGCTGGCTTCTCGGGAAAGAATCGGTGAAGAAAATGCGGAGTAGTTTTGCCTTCTCGCTTGAAGAAATCAATCTGTTCCACCCGAGTTTCCTGGGTTGCCGACTCCATCGAAATCGAAGCGAAAGGTGACAACTTTTTGACAATAACGGCTCCCTGCGAGAAACAGATGTACAGAAGTTAGACACAAGAATTTGGATTGTCCCCTTAAAATCATTTCAAAAAACAAAAAAAACTCCACACCCACTTCCCCAAGAGTTAATGGCGATCAAATACAGAGAAAATGTACGAGGAAAGAGGGGAAGAAGCTCAAATTTGGTTGCAATCCTAAGTTCTACGAACAAAATATTTATACTAGTAAAAAGAGAATCAAAACTGTGGATGCAGGCCAGCTCAGGGGGCTGTTACGATGAAAACTGCGGCACCAGAGAAAGGAAAGATAATGAAACGAAGGAGAAACGCAGAGGAAAAAAGATAGAGATAAAGAAGGGTGGACCTGAATGAGAAGATCATACACAGTTGCTTTCTTCTGCATGTTGTTGGTATATAGTGAACAGTGTGACAACGCACTTCCAAAATTCCACGTGGTGATCAGAGGGAAGAGAGAGAAAGAGAGGTTTGAATCGCCAGAGATTAAGAATAAGAAAGCCCTTTTGCTCTGGCGCGACCTCTCTTGCCAGCTTCTCGCCTCGGCGCTGCGAGTAGGAGCAACTCGAAGCAACAGTGGTCGGACACTTGTTTCATGAGCCTGGCTGCGTCATGAGCCATGGGACTGTCATGTAATTTCGAAAGAAGTTTGGGGTACTAATCAGTTTTGAAAAAAAAGTGACAGATAGTGTTTGTTTTGCTTTAAATGTCATTTGGATCCTTCTCCCACTTCCCCGGCGGGATCGCTCACTCGCCGCGTCGTCTTCACAATCCGATTACACTTCAATTCATTATGCAGCGTGCATTTTGATATTCTTTTCTCTTTTTTTTTTTTTAAATAAAAAATTATTTATTTACCTTATTATTTGTTTTAAAAAAATTAATATAGTTATCTATAATTAGCGTTTTTATTTTGATTCTGAGTATAATTAGTTTAATTTACTTATTTGTAACATGTTAAGTTTTTGTCATCGATGGTGAATCATGTTGACCAAACTGAAGCATCTTATTTTGCATCCAAATTTACCATCAAATAAAAATGGTACAGATATCTTCATTAAATTATTCAGTTAACATTTTAAGAAAATATCCTAAAAGTGTTTCATATATTGCTTTTCTCACCTCTTACAATCTCTATATTATAATGTGAGATCTCATCAAAGTAAACAAAAGCATCAAGAATATACTAAATGCTATCATGGAAAAATTATCAAAGCTAAAACTAGCATGACTGACTCATGATATTCTTTCACTTTTCATACTATAAAAAATACTCTTTTGGTCCTTAATATAAGACCCATTTAACTAATTTGATTAGATTAAGGAAGTTAGGTAAGGTAGTTAATTATAAGAAATATGACATGTTTTTCCTAAAACACCATAATCATCTTTTTTAATACCCTCTCTCCCTCTTTTACTTGATTATGATTGAGAGAGTATCCATAGGGGTAATTTAGAGAAAATTAAAAAATATGATAAATTGGTCTTATATTTAGGACCAAAACCAACTCAATAATTGGGTCCTATATTAAGGACCGGAGGAGTATCATTTAAAAAATATCATATATATATACTCCTCCGGTCCTTAATATAGGACCCAATTCTTAAGTTAGTTTGGTCCTAAATATAAGATCCATTTCTCATATTTATCAATTTTCTCTAAATTACCCTTATAGATACTCCCTCAACCATAATCAAATAGAAGAGGGAGAAGGGTATTAAAAAAGATGATTATAGTGTTTTAAGAAAAATGTGTCACTTTTCTTATAATTAACTAACTTACCTAACTTCCTTAATCTAATCAAATTAGTTAAATGGGTTTTATATTAAGGATTGGAGGAGTATTAAAAGTCATAAAGTTGGTGTAAGAAATTATTGTCAACATAACAAGACAGGTCATAATCAAATAGATATATGTTGAAAATTGAAAATAGTTGAATGAATTTAAAAAATTATCAATAGCAAGTTGTCCTGACGACTATGTTGTCCATTAAAATTTATCAATGGCAAATTGTCTTAGTTACTTCCTATTATATTTTGATGATATTTCGAATTTGAATCTAGTGTTAATATGTTTATTTAAATAACTAACTTAAATTGATTATAATTAAAAAAAAAGGAATGAATTTAAATACAATATGAATGTGCATCACAGAAAAGAGGAGATTTGGATTATATAGAAGTTTGGCATCTGCAGCATTAAAGAGGCAAATGACACCAAACTGGCTTCCCAATGAAAATAATCGGTGTTCATTTTCCTCTTCTCCATTTCAGTACACACGTGTCCATGAAATTGTTACAATGCTTCTACTTCTAGAAGAAATATTATTCAAAAACTGTATTTTGCATATGCAGCCTTAAATCTGGAAAACCTGGTTCAGATGTTATCAGATATTAAAGTATAAGATCTAGTTTGTAATATAATTTATATTAGAAACTAAATTATATATTTAGGACCAAATATAGTATTTATTACTAAACTCTATTTTTTTTTACTTTAAGATCATCTTATAGTAAGCATTTCCCTTGGCTTAACATAATTTTGGTCTTTTAAGTTTACACAAATTTTGATTTTAGTTCATCAAGTTTCAAAACGATAGTTAGGTTTTGATTCATCATAAAACAAATTAATTTATGTTGTTATTAAATTATTGACATCAATATTTTAAATGAAAAGAAATTTAGGGAACTAAAACCAAAAAATAAAAATTAAGATAATTTTTTTAAAAAAAATTGTATTAACCTAGTGTGTGTGTGTGTGGTCTGATTTAGGCTTGGCTCCATGAGCAGCCTATATTAAGATTTATGGGGTGGTGTTTGGAGGAAAGATAGGGTAACTTTGGTTTTATCAATTACTCTTTTATTTTATTTGGCTTAATTCGAGGCTATCAATCCTCAAGGGGAGGCCTTTATAATATTTGGAGCAATTTTAATTACTAACCGCTTGACCATAGTTGAAATGATAACGGGAGCCAGATAATGTCATGTATCGTTAAAGGTTTAAATGCTCCTGATGTAAACAAAAACATTACTCCTCTGGTCTTATTTATAGGGTAGAGAGAAAAAGTTTATTTTGATCCTATTTATAAATCATTTTATTAAATTTTTATCATGAATATACGATATTATCTTTTATTTATTATAGTGTTGATAGTCATTTATTTTGAAAGGTGTGTATATTAAATAGGGGTAAAGTTGAAAAGTCGTTATATTTTAATGAAGAGTTAATATAGTTTAAGATTTTCTTTAGTCTATGTGAAACATGTTGGAAATAACTTATAAATAGGATCAGGGGAGTATTATGTAATAACATGAGGTAATTAACCCCCCCCCAAAAAAAAATCAAGAAGACACGTCGCTCAGTGATAATAAATATTGAAAAATTTGTTAAAGACACTTAAATACACAAATATAGAGTATAAAATAGGAAAATATAAACGCTATACGTTTAATCATATTTTGTTCTTTTTTTTTTTTTGCCTGACATATTTTGTTCTTAATCCTTATCATTTATTTTCCTGATTTTTCATCACCTTCTGTATTTGTTTTGTCTGAAACATTAGTGCTTTTGGTTTGAAATATGCTCCCTCCGGTTCAAAATATAAGTTGAACTTTATCGATTTATGTTTATCAAGAAATAAATTAAAATTAATTTAAAACAATAAATATGTAAGGCATATATTTGTTTTTCCTAATATACCCTTATTAATGAAGAGAATAAGTAAAAGATGCAATAAATGAATTAAAGAGGAAAGAGAATATATAAGAGTAAAATTGAAACAAGCTCATTAGATGTTTGAACTAAAGTGAATATTATCTTATAAAAAAAACTAATCCTTTTAAGAAAGTTTATTTTATATTTTGAATCGGAGGTAGTATTAAAGAGACTAAGCTTTGATTTTAATAGTATCAAGTTTGTTGAGACAAACTTAATGAAGCAAATTAAAAGGAGAACCACCAAAATACCACTCTTATGCTTATTATTTGTTACTTGTAGGGAGAGATTTTGGCTTTTTTGATTTGTCACTTGTACTTTTTATAATGTTTTATTTTCAATTCTGTCCTGTTGAATTATAATAAAGGTGAAGAGAGAGGGTATGTGTGAGTAAAAATATATTAGTATTTAATGTTATACTTAATAAGGACAAAAGTGAAGGATTACGCATATTTAATACTCTTCTTGGTATGTTAAAAACTCCTACAAGTAACAGATAATAAGGATATGAGTGGTAAACCAGACGGACTAAATAGAAAGCATAATTGAAGAACGTGGGAGAGCGGAAGCACACTGGAAAGGAAGTGATGTTGATGGAATCGGTTGAAGGAAATGGCCAAGAAGGAGCAGCAATGACAAGAAGAACAAGGAAGGTATGGGAGAGAGAGTTTGGAGGGCATTTCAACTTTTGCAATAAAAGTTTTATTTTTCAGTGGAATATTCATTATCACATCAAACATATTCGCAACGATTCATATTCCATTCATTATCATCACTTTTGGCAACCAGAGTTCCCACAAGAACAACACACACACACGTAATGCCGAACTACCCCTCTAAAGTTTATAGCTTACATTAAACGTAAAGATATCTTTTATGTGCTTATATTTTTGTTCATTGTCAATCTGCCCTATTAAATCTTCCGAGTTCATAGAGGTGGTCTTAAGAAGGAAATTACGTGGCTACGAAACCAAACAAAAAGAAACATTTTGGAAACAACTGGAAACGAAAATGACATGGCAAAAGAGATTGAGAGAGAGAGAGAGAGAGAGAGAGAGAGAATATTCATTTTGAAAATAGCAAAAAAAAAACATGAGTCTGCCAAAACACTCGTGTATGGGCCGAGTAAGCCTCCTAATTATAAATTTATGACTAATATACCGTTGAATGATTGCAACATGCAAATCTGAACCCTCAACTTCCGCCTATTTAACCACAGGGTAAATTATTGTCCCCTTTCCTCAACAAGGGAAAAATGTTGTGGTCTTTTGCTTGCTTTCCTGCTAACCACAAAAAGTAAAAGAGGGAGGAAAAAAAAAAAAAAAACCCATCAACTAGTTTCTCTTCACCAATGATCGTGCTTAGGTTGATGGTTGAGAACTATGCCCTTCCCCCGCCTTGCCGGCTGCCTCGTCCACTTCCATTTTGGCCTAAAGAACTGTCTCCTTTCTGTCCAGCTGAACCCTTAGGCCGCCCAGAAAACTCTCCCTGGTTTCTGAATTCACCTCTTCCATAACCTCGGCCACTGCTGAATTTCCCTCGGCCCCTAAAGCTCTCATTTCTGAAGCTACCTCTTCCTGAAGGATACCTTCCTCTCCCACTGCTACCGCTGACTGGAATAGGATTACATGAAAATAACAAAATCAGCCTCTATCTCAACCGTAATCCAACCCCTCATAAGATATAATTTCTTTGCGTCAAACAGTTTACCTCGTGTAGTCGTTCTTTTTTCCTCAATAGCAGCTTGCCGACCACCAATGGTCACATGGGCCGCCTAAAATGAATTTCAGCCAGGTTTATTAGTTGGAGCATCAGCAAATCATGACATTCAATGATAGAAAAATGCAGATGCATCATGAAGACACTTCAGAACAATCTAAATTCTGCCAGTACGCAAACTGTGATTCAATTCCAAATTTACATCACTCCTTATTTCAGTTGATGGGCTTTCTATTCTAGAGAAATAGCAATTCAAAGTTATATGGTCTTCAATTTTGTTTCATTGCCCTACTTTGCTACTGATAAAGCTCATGTGGCCATTACAACCAAACTTTACAACAAATTCGAGATACTCCAAAACAGGGGACAAGATATAAATCCATCTATTCCGCATTGGATAGGAGGACATCCCAGTAAATTTAAACGCAAATAGCATTCCCTTTTTGGGTAGAGAGAGAGGAGAGAGAAGAGGAAGGGGGTCTCAGTTAACATTCAACATACAAAACTGCAAAAGTCTAAGATATATACACGGTACAACAAGCATTAAGATCAGCTATCTAGAGGCCAAAATTACTCTAGGGGTTTTATGAGTAAAATAGATCACTAAGTTGACTTATTTCCCATTCTCTCACTCATCTCCTTCCACATGGCATATATATGCCAGTCAACAGTTATCAGAAGTTGTTCTGCATCATCACTGCCATTATGTGTCATGAGCACTCAATCATATGCCCAGTATCTTCTACGTATAAAGCATTCCCCAAAGTATGCCCTGTTCCCACTAACACTGTCACTAAAATTCACCACAGTACCAGGTATTCAGCGGTTCAAGACAATGAGGACTAAATGTGAAACATTTTGGCGGGTAGAACAAGAAATTTAATTGCAGAAAGACGGCCACTCAAAAACTGAAAAAGAGGAGAACGAAATGAAACGGCAACCTTGAAAGGTTATCATCAAATACAAATCAACCAGCAGGGCCGTTGATCAGAACTAAAACACAGGGCTCTATGGACAAAGACCAAACAAGTGAGAAAATAGACATCTAGCATCATATAAAAGACATCACCAGTGACTTAACCAATGAACTCCCTATCATTCAGGTGAATCAATCATAGACATGTCAGTTCAGTTACACACAAGTCAGACCTTTATATCTGCCACACACGAAAGTGAAAGTAAAGCTAGCTTGCTAAACATTCCCAGCAAATTTTCCACTCCGATAAGCATAAAAAACAATCCCATTTGCAAAGTACATTTCGGTGTTACTTCAGCTGGATTTCCAGAAAGGACTTCCAGTTATGAATGAGGTATGCAGACTTCACCAATAAGGAAGAATTCAAGGTCACGATGTTTTCACCTCGAACCTTTGACAATCAAACAGTCATTCATCACATTTCTTTAAACAATTTAGGTTTTTAGTATTCCACCCCCATAGTGACTCCTAATAGAAGCTGGAATTTAGGAATCATGGACACAACATTAACCCAAACTGCAAAGCAAAGCTAACCTGTACAAGTAACACTACACATAAAGCACTCTAAAAGTTAGAATTAGAACTTGATTAGCAAATCCTATGACTGCCCATAAACAGACACCTATTAGCAGTTTCTGTTGATATAAAACTATAATCTCAGCAGTTTAACAGAACAAGCTGTACCTCAAGTGCACTCTGCATGGAACTCAATTCTTCAAATTCAACAAATCCAAAACAGAACCCCTGCTGCAAGAGAAATCAGTAACTACTAAGCTTGCCTTTAGATAATTCACAGGTTTTTAGAGTGCAGAAAAATAATATTTATGCACCTTGCTACTTCTAACTTGAATTCCATCATGCTTAATAGGTCCAAATTTCTTAAACACCTCCTCAAGTTGTTCAACTGTTGCATTAAATGGCAAATTCCGTACATATATCGAGTGACCTTCAGCTGTAAAATAAAGTGGAAGTCAACTTATTGTTGAACTGAAATTTAAAGCACTGGTATGTATCAATGAATCTCGAATAATTATTCCACTCTGCTGATCCTTTTTCCCACTATGACTGTTTCATTCTTTTTCACTCACAAATCTTAATAAAGATGAACAATAAGTCAACAAGGACGGCATGTGTCTTTAAATTGCATCTAACTTGTCTACATAAAATAGCTCTCAATCATGCCAACAAGCTCCAGTATATACCTTCTTCATGAACATAACCACTTTCAGGAGCACTATCATTATTAGGAGCTGGTGCCTCAGGTCCAGGAGTAGGTTTGGCGGCAGCAGGCCATTGCTGACTTGGTTTTGCAGATGCCGCTCTTACAGTTCGGCTTGGAACATAGACAGGACCAGGTGCTGCATGACTTTTCATTACCTTCACCTAAATGTCACAAACCATTAACAAATGTAAGAGATGAATTAGAACCACAAAAAAGGAAACTGAATAGGGATTCTCTCACAATTGATGCATAAGATTTTCTTGGTGCATCATCCTGGGCTGCTGGAGTTGAATCAACACTTGCAACAATATTGCTTTGATTCAGTTCAGTAGAGGGTTCAACAACCTCTTCATCAATAACTGATCCTTCCCCCTCATTGTCCAAAGGTTCATCAACTTCAGCGCCATTATGAATGCATTCCACCTCTACAGAAGGTGCAGGGTCTGCCACATGTTGTTCAGGAGCATATACAACCTCTAGAAACATGAAACAGTCAATTATCAATTTCATGCTTTACTGAAAACAAAAACTATGTAATACGCATAACAAAAAATCACACTAACCTGCTTCTGGCACAGGAACTTTCTCAGTGTTTTCGTTGATGGTTTCTGAGACAGGATTTGATTGCAATGTGTCTTTATCCTCAATATACCTAAATACATCATTTAAGACGTAATAGCCTTTGTCCTGTGGAGCTAGAAAGAATGTCTGCGTGAACTTCCTTGTCACACCATCCTTTCCAGTTAAGCACCCAGTAACTAAAACTATCACGCCCTTATCATATGACTCCTGAGCATCTGCAGTTTTTATTTCTGCTGTGTAGTCTTCATAGTTAAGGGACAGAATTTTTTCATTTATTGCCTGCTCCAATTAATGCGTTGGAATTAAAGCAAATCAAGTTGTGTTAATATATGCAAGAGATCGAACTTCCTCAAAGCATGCACAAACAAGACAATAAGAAAAATATTTAAGTTTGAGGGCCAATTGCACAACTATGACGATGGTTTTGAATCTGGTCATAAAAAATGAAAAGGCAGGAATTATCCTTGTAAATATGCTCACGGAAGAATTAATGAAGTGAAAAGGATATAAACAAGATGATGCTTAGTTATTCCTCCACGAAATTCTTCAAACAGTTACAGAAAAACCCACCTTAAGGTTGGTTGACAGACTGCAGCTAATAGCATATGTTATAAATTTACAAATTTTTAATGGTTTGGATGGGCTGGATAAAGTCATGGAAGGATGGGATGAATAATGGCTCAAGTTTTCCACCTCTTCTATCAATGTAAAGAACTTAATTATCATGTAATTGCTATCAATGTAAACCATTAAATTTACAAATTTTTAATGGTTTGGATTGGGCAGGATAAAGTCATGGAAAGATAGGATGAATAATGGCTCAAGTTTTCCACCCCTTCTATCAATGTAAAGAACTTGATTATTACGTAATTGCCAGCTTATTCTGATGCTAAAAAAATTATAATACATAGATGCAAAGCAGTAATCTGGTCTGAGTTTCATGCTTAATGATCATCACAATTAACCTTCTGCTGAACTTACTTGCATAGTTGTCACTGTTGACATCACTCCATTGCCATCTGTTCGACTTAAGAAACTTGAATCCTGATAAAACCTGTGCACCAAGTTTGGGGATTGATGCAGAATATGATAATATTGCTCCACAAAGGCATTGCCAACTACTTCAGCACTAGGGGGAGAGGCAGGGGTGGCTTCCTGCATTGCCATCTAAGAAAGTACAAGCAAAAGAACTCATTAACCATGGATTAGCTTTACCTCTGGAAAGAAAAAGAAGATTATTTCAGCTTGACACCCTGCTCTGCCCCATCTCAAATCGACAAAAGAAAAGAGAACCAAGCTAGTCATTTCACATGAAAGACTTAAAAAAGTTGTTTAATGGGAATCAATGGTAAATCATCAAAACAAAACCTCCAAATACAATAGGAATAATACATCTAACACGGATTATAAAGAGAAAGGCAGATGAACTCAAAAATTGTCGATTGCAAAAGCCACAGCTCCCTCAAAAATGATTTCTTGGCAATCACAAATGTGGAATGCGTAGCTTAATCACTTAAGCAGACTATGAAGGGGACCAACATTTACCATTGACTTCCACCCTCAGTCCGGAACAGCTCAGTTTTTTTCCCCCCTTTCTCCTTTTGGGTAGCTAACTGATCCAGATGATTGCCTAAAATCAATGCCCAGTCCATACTTCAAGTGTCATAAGTAAAGGCTTCCTGAGCAGAATCTCATTACTTAGCCCAAGTTGCGGGCAAAATACCCACAGTTAAGCAACATTAATGGACCATGGAAGCAGTATGGTCATTTCAGACAAACAGGATTCAAGTTTAGAATGCATCAGACCATGAGACCTAGTACACGAAGGCGGTAAAAATACGAGTTTGCCGAACGGGTACTGACCTAGAGAAGAATGTCGAAAGAGGCAAGAAAAATGTAATTTTATGCAAAATTGTGAGTGGACACCGGTAAATCATCACAATAAGAAAACCCAGTAAAACCCTTCAAGCAAATCAGATTATATTGACAGATCAATCAGCAAGTAAGCTACAGAACCAAATTACAGACCCGAATAAGCGTATCTGACTAAATCACAAAGAATATATTAAAGAGGAGCGCGAGTACCTGCTTGGAAACGATTTAAAGCGACGAGAGAAAAGAGATCTGAACTCTGCAAGTGAAAGGGAACAACAGAGGCTTAAAAAACGCGAAGGAAGTGAGAGACACAGGAAAGATTCGGAAGCTTTCGTGCTCGGAGATCACAAAAGAAGACTCCGCTTTCCTTTTCTGTGAGATGCCCATTGCCCATTATGACGTATTATTTTAGTTTATTCGCTTTGTGTTGTTCCAAATCTATAAATTAAAAAAATACAAAATTTACTTTTAACGTATGGCTTGACCATCTCTGTCTGCTTAGACAATTGCAAGGAAACTACTATACACCAACCAAACAATTTCACATTTAAGCATAGAAATCTTGCCAATCAAGACATTGAATAAATTATATACTAGTTAAGGAAGTCAGAGAATGAGTAGCTAAAGGCAATAAAATTGGAGGTCCGCTTGATTTTGACAACCAAATATGCATATCACATTATTTTTCTCTCAGTTGTGTTTTTAAAAAAGAAATTCATGCATCTACAGTAGAATCGAACCTTCGCATTTCAAAAATTTAAACGAGATTTTTAATGTTATTGGGCTAACTTGTACTTTAATATGTTAGTGTCTTATTTTTTGACCTCAAAAAGAAAATCATGACTTTATAGCCAAGACACGCCTCACACTAAGTTAGAAAGATTTTGTCTGAAAAGTATGGTACGGAATTATAAATAGGTTCCGATAAGTTATTATCCTTTGCCTGGATATCATATCTTTATCTTTATCTTTATCTTTAATATAATTATTTCGTCGTACCATTGTTTTGTCTATTATTTATTCATTTTTTATGACAATCGGAGTTCAGGAAAAGAACAAGACGCAATTAGGTGCACGTGTTATATATGGGACTTCCCAATATGTCTTTGTAAGGCGTCACAAATTTATTATTTGTTTATTTCAAAAGAATATTTACAAATATATATTTTAAAAATTAATATAGATAACTTTTCCCCCAGCAATATGGATAACTGATCCATAAATGGGAAAATGATTTATACATTATACATTAAAATAAAGTAGTATTTCATATTTCACGTACATGGCCATAGCCACTGGCTAGTGGCCAGTCACCCCTCGCTCGCGAAGCTTCCTTCCTTAATGTCGGCCCACTTGTGATGGTTAAGCTTAAGCCCACATGCACTTCTCTTCAAATTTCAAAACCTGAAGGGCTTCAGGAAGAAGACATGGAATTGATGAGGTCGGCATTGCTCTCCTGTGCCTGAGCCTGAAATCGCCACTGACATCAAATATTACGTACGCTTTGCGATCAGCGTCGGAATTGTCCTTTTCTATGTCAGAGACCTCCTTGAAGAAGCTAGGCCCAAGCGGAGAAAACGATGAAGTAAAAGACCTTTGACGTCTTGGACCTCCCCACTTTTGTTTATCTGATTGCTGAGGTCGATGAGGACAAGAACGCTTGTGTTGGAGCTTATCGGACTTAATTAGGTGAGCAATTAACGCTGGTTCTTTCCGAAGTTACGTTGAGTAATTCACACCATTATAAAGCTTAGAAAAACACCTTCGTTTGGTCGAAAATGAGTATTTTCACGTCTGGTTATACGTAGAGTTACACTTTCACAAAACTCTTTTCATTAAAGTTTAGGACTTCCATTACATTTTAAAGTTAATCATCTGAAGCCTTAATTTTCGTGGATGGGGGTTGTCTTCAAGATTCTGTTTTTTGGACATCTATTCGTCTGGGGTAAATAACTTCAACTGGGTGTGAATCGGAGACAGAAATACAACCCTTCCAGTGGCAGGCAGATACTTTTGAGTTTTGAGGACATGTTACATGAATAATCATCTCATCCATTGATCAAGTACCATTATTTCTTTGGTGCTGATTTTTCCCAGAATCTGGTGTTGAGATTTTGCGAAAGACCTGAGTCAAAAGGCTGCAAGGTACACAAGGCAGTTGTAAGGCAGTTTCAGTAGAGTTTAGGACTTCCATTACATTTTAAAGTTAATCATCTGAAGCCTTAATTTTCGTGGATGGGGGTTGTCTTCAAGATTCTGTTTTTTGGACATCTATTCGTCTGGGGTAAATAACTTCAACTGGGTGTGAATCGGAGACAGAAATACAACCCTTCCAGTGGCAGGCAGATACTTTTGAGTTTTGAGGACATGTTACATGAATAATCATCTCATCCATTGATCAAGTACCATTATTTCTTTGGTGCTGATTTTTCCCAGAATCTGGTGTTGAGATTTTGCGAAAGACCTGAGTCAAAAGGCTGCAAGGTACACAAGGCAGTTGTAAGGCAGTTTCAGTAGAGTTTAGGACTTCCATTACATTTTAAAGTTAATCATCTGAAGCCTTAATTTTCGTGGATGGGGGTTGTCTTCAAGATTCTGTTTTTTGGACATCTATTCGTCTGGGGTAAATAACTTCAACTGGGTGTGAATCGGAGACAGAAATACAACTCTTCCAGTGGGAGGCATATACTTTTGAGTTTTGAGGACATGTTACATGAATAATCATCTCATCCATTGATCAAGTACCATTATTTCTTTGGTGCTGATTTTTCCCAGAATCTGGTGTTGAGATTTTGCGAAAGACCTGAGTCAAAACGCTGCAAGGTACATAGAGTAAGGCAGTAGTAAGGCAGTTTCGGGCTTTTGGTTGCTTGACGAGGGCCATGCATGCGGCAGAGTGCAGTCAATGAATTCTTCTGACTTGTGACAAAAAACTTATGAATTTTTGTGGGAGTCGAATGTGGTCTGCTGGCTTAACAAACTTCAACATCCTTTGAGCAGTTTCTTGATTCGTCAACCAAGGAGCTATTACCTGTGAGATTTCAAGGAGCTATTCTGTGGTTTTGGCTCTGATGGAGTTGAATCCAACCTTTCATAGCTTAGCTTTCTCCTTAGGTTTAAGTATTTTCTGTAAAGCTTTCACAGATTTGGTGTTTCCATTGTGAACTACTTGGATTGATGCTTTCTGCCTTTTAAGTTGATGCCATCGCTTTCTTATAGTTTCGTCTCCACGCATGTTATTGATCTTTTGCTTCCGTTAGCAATTAGTATAGCCAAATAAAAACAGTGGCATATATTAAAAAGTTGTTGTTCTGTGCCATCTGAATGAGTTCTTGGTAGTTCATGCTGTTCATCTGAAAATTGTCAACTTGATTATTTTATTTTCATTCGTTCGAAGCGCTCGCTTTCTTTATCTTAAGATCCTTCGAGGTTCCAAAGTTGTAATCCAAGTTTGTAATTTGCACATCGCATAGTTCTCATCATATGACTGTTTCTCATAAATATTGATATACTATATCTGGTTCTTAATATAAAAGCTAGTTGATTAATTTGATGAGTAGATTAATAAAGTTTGTTAAGTTAGTTATTTGCAATAAATATATGTTATTTTTTCTAAAATACCTTTACTAATTATTTGTATTGACTAGAGTTACTATTTGATGAAACATTTAACATATGTAGTTACTACAACATTACTTTGAAAAAAATATATAAATATGAGAGATAAAGTAGATTGGGGTTTTATATCAAAATAAATGTCAAATTAATTCTTATATTAAGGAAGGTGGTATACACCAAATTTAAGTGCACTAAGACAAAAAATGGGCACTTTTCTTGTTTAAGGTGGAAATGCCATTCTTGTGGTATGATGTTCTTATAAAACAACGAAAGACCAAAGATAGATTCTGATACTGGATATCATATAACTGTAAAAGATTAACAGTTTATCATATCAGTATGGAGATGAACTTCTTGTTCTCATGTTTTTCATGCTGTTTTAGAGAGTTCTAGCTGTCTTTATTAATGCGGTAGTATGTAGTAAATGTGGCTTAATATATGTGTGCAAATGACATTGTTGACATGCCTGTGAAAATAGAATTCTTGAATTGAAGTAGCTACTTCATTTTAGGAGGCAAGGATGCAGCCTGTATTAATGATTCGGAATTCTCTGGAACAAGTAGGACTCATAAATTGCTGGGTATTACATATATATCTGGAACAAGTGGTTAGTTTATTACGATTGACTAATTTAACTGATTTTTTTATTTATTTCTCCCAATTAGTTAAGTAGTTTTTATATTAAGGATTGGAGGTAGTATATAATGTCTGATCTTATTTTAGCGTGGTCAGAATTCTGTGTGATAGACTATTAATTATTTGGGTTCAAGTGACTGCCTTGCATTTTTGCTAGTGAAGAACGGCAAAGATCTATAGACTGTGTTTTCTAATGATAGCTGGCCCTGGCCGCAGATAATTTTTTTTTTTTCCTAAGAAATTCAGGAACCCATCAAGTTTCAATGTTCTCCTTGCTTATCTATCATTGCAATATTTACGAGAGCATCTAATAATGAATATGCAGCATTTACTTTCATGTAATGACCTTACCCTTTTTTTTTAAAATTTAATAAAAGGTATTCTTAAGTCATTTTAGGCTCGAATTAATCTCTTTCAAATCTTAAAGCGCAAAAGGTTATCACCTTCTATCATTATATCTGATCTGTGCAATCACAATGATCAACATTTCTTATACTCTGCTTACTTCTACATCACGGTTCGTTCTTGAAAGATGCCCATGGTTAAGTGTCTCCATTGCTAGTTTTTCCCCAGTTATTGATGAAGGGTATATGTATTCATAGGATGTTGTAAATTGGTTGTGTGTGGCAGCAGTTCTATGCCAGTCTATAGCCTGGCATTTATGATGGGTCCGTAGAGATCATTATCACCATACAGTGATGTAAAAGTTATAGAGGCAGGCATTAGATTTAACGATGATATTAGAGTAATCTTAATTATAACCAAACAACACTAGAAATCCTGTTCAATGTTCAACCAGTCGGAGACTAGGACGGCCCCATCAACTAGCAAGAAACAAGAAAAAAATCATGTAACAAGTGCTCTAGTGATTAACATGCAACAAAGAAAGTTTTCAGCGTTTCTTTTTCCCTTAAAACATCTTCATGTCTAAATGGGTCATTGGACGGTGCACATTATCTGCTCAATATCAAATCACGCTGATATTTAAAACGGCATTATTTTGCTACAAAATATCAAAAAGTCATTCATTTTATGTATAATCTACTGATAAAAATGCAAGAAATTTTTTTTTAAAATGGACGCAAAATGAAGGTGCACGGTGGGAAAGCCATTAGAGGGGGG